TCAAGAGCCGCAATGCGATGTAACCTTCGCGTGCAGGTGTTCGCATCACGAAGCAGTTCGTACAGAGCCGCGATGCGAATACCTGCATGCAAAGGTCACATCACGAAGCACTTCGTATAGAGCCGCAATGCGATGCGAATACCTGCATGCAAAGGTCACATCACGAAGCACTTCGTATAGAGCCGCAATGCGATGCGAATACCTGCATGCAAAGGTCACATCACGAAGCACTTCGTATAGAGCCGCAATGCGATGCGAATACCTGCATGCAAAGGTCACATCACGAAGCACTTCGTATAGAGCCGCAGGTTACCGCGAGCCCTGGTCTAGAGGGGCTCTCCAGAGCACCCTATGGTGGAGGGCCTTCCAAACAATTGCAGCGCTGCATCTCTTTATCTTTTGTCTTGCATTGCGGGGACGCGTCGTCACACGCAGGCCGTAGATGTTCTAAAATTTGGTCCTCTCAATTGTTTTGGTTTAACCGATTTTTCGATGGCTGACCTGTAGAGACACAGGACCCTGCGACGTGAATGTGAAATTGCTGATTGCTCAATTGGGCCGGAACATATTTTCCATTTGAAGGAATGAAATAAAAAATCTGATCATCAGAATAGTATATTTTAAATATACTACATACATTATGGTATGTGTTAGACATGTAACTATGCATTGACTCATGGAATTAAATTAATTCGTATGTATACATTTCAGTCCTTGAATTGTGCGTGTGAGAATTATGATTGAGGTCTATTATATGCAAATGTGTACTTGTTGGATAATGGAACACACAAGTCTGTAAAAATGAGACAGAACACTTATCATACTAACGATATGTTAAACACAAGACAAAGTTATTTATTGATTTAAATCGTGTCCCAGAATCTCACGTGTGACAGAAGAGCCCTTTAAGTGACCTCTGTTCAACACAGCAGGGGGCAGCACTTCCTCACATAGAGCCATTTTATTCGCGTGATAGTCTAAACGATATTTTAATTCTCAGAGCTGCATTTAGTGAGAATTAATTATTCAATCAAATTGAATGTGATTGAGTGTTTTGTGTATTTATTGGTGACCAGGCTGAGACCATCAACTCACTACGCTTGAGAATCAGGACCTTACAATTTGGAAATTCATCGAATCATTGGGGGAAGGAGGGGGTGGGGGATGGATTTTAATAGTTCCATGCATATAAGAAAAGCTCAAGTAATCGGTAATCAGTGACTGATTACTTTTGAAAAGTAGCCCTTCCAACACTGCCAAATAAGAGGGCCTTCATTGCCTGCAGCCCCGTTAAGACCGGTTAGCGACACTTTTGGCACAAGCCGGCACTCAGCGCGCTAGGAACACACTCTCTGTGAAGAGGGACGCTAAAAGCGAACAAATTCTGGCGAGAGAGAGAGGTGGGGAGGGGGAAAAGTTACAAAATAGTTGAGCGATGTTGATTGATGGGCCGCAGTAGAGTGGTCACACCGCGCAAACGCGGGCAGTGGCAAGCGCTGGTATTTTCCAATCAGCGAGTCGTGGTGACACGTACGTGCGACATGCCACCCGGCAGCAAACACATAAGTCAGTGTGAGCAGTGAGTCGGTCATTGAGCGAGTCGCTGCACACGTGCCCGTGCGTCAGCCGAGCGATATTGAGCGCCCGGCGCTTTTATGTGCGCGGCATGGCAAATATGACCACCGAAAATTAATATGAGTCTCGGCGGAGTCAATATTTACAGCATTACTCAGGGGTTTGGCTCCGTCGTCCCGTGTTTGTCTTTGGAGAAATTTCCATTAGAAACGCGTGATGAATAATGCTAACAAGCAGGCGTGGAATCGCCTCGCAGTTACATTAGCAGGAATAATAAATTTTGCTTCTTATTGACGATAAAGAAATCATTTTCTTCAATTGAATTTCTTAATATAATATTTTACGCGCTCGTTCATTTAATATGTAACATTTTTTTTAAATGGCTCTTAATTCTTCCCGAGTGTCCCAGTGATGGAATTAGCCATTGGGTAAGCCAGGAATGGAAATTCCACATTTCACTGACAGGGGCTGGTGTATCCGTAGTCCAACCAACTGTTAATTTCTGACGAAGTGGAACTTCATGTTATTTACCTCGGAAAGATGCTGGGCTGAGTGGAACCCTATTTCGCATTTTAAAGCGCAATATTCTAATTGTGAATCGAGGATTAAAAGTTTTAAGGGAAGCAGATATTAAAAAAATGTTATCAACAAGCATGTTTTTTTATGCCATGGTAATCGATGTAGCCTGAGCCAATTTGCACCAGGTCAACAGGTCAACTACTACGGCCAGCCAGTAATTTCTGCAGGCACTTACCAAAGCTTGCCGTGTGCTGCAAAGTGGACGTTAAAGATCTCGTGACACGATTTTGCAAGCGCAGGCCAACGTTAGCTGGTGTTGGACACAAATGTCAGATAGACTATACTGAGACCTGTCTTCTCCTCGGTAGACATTAACTTGGAGAAATAACCGAACCGTAGGTCAAATACAACGATTGTGCACTCTGCGTTGAGCGCGTGGTAACAAAAATCTCTTGCGGATGTTTTATCTCGGCGAGTTCCCACCATCTGAGTACAAATAAATCCAACTGAATCACATTATTCGTAGCAAAAGGAATAAAGGTGAATCAGATTGAGTGAATGGGTTGTGAAAAGAAGAGATCCCAAGAACATTACAGAAGGTGAACAAATTATACGGTGATACTGCTTTGGTAGTGGTGCAACGAGCAACAAACTCAACACAATCGTCAATAACGACTGTGGTACTCCCATACCTGTCAACCCCTTATCAGTGCCTACCTTATTACAGACAAATCCAGACCTTATTGGTCGCCCCATGCCCTTTTAAATCTCAACGTTCATCCTACAAAGTCCCATCACGAGCAAATATATATTTTTGCCCGTATTGAAACGGCTGTACGCCGTATGGACCTGTAAACTAAATTGCCCTGTACAAGAATACGGGTAAACCGTTTTGGGTTGACCAGCTATGTAATCCAGAACAGACCGTACAATGTGTAACGACGCAATGCCCGAACCACAAATACGAAGGGGACATCGCAGCGATGCACGCCGCTGCTCTGCAGCGACACCAGCCACACGAAAGATAGATCGTCAATAACAACGGTGCGTTGTGTGTGTGTGTGGCCTTGAAAGGGAAACGTAGATAATAGGCGACATTTGCGGTTGACATTGCAGAAAGCAGTGTGTCTATGCCCTCTAGTGGGGAGCGGCCGTGTAGCCTGGTTAGCGCGCTGCGCTGCCAACCAGGCTACCCGAGTTCAACTCTCGATCAGGGCCAAAACGAGTGACTTTTTTTAACCGGTCCTAGGCCTTCCCCTAGGTCGACTCAGCCGCAAATTAGTACATGGTGCGGTGTACAAATCGCCATTAAGGGAAACAAAGGCGGTCGGTCGTAGTGCTGGCCACCCACCCCCTCGTGTACCGTTCTGACCTTCCTCGGTGCTGCTCGTGAACAGCACTTGCCCCAACAAGCTGTTAAGGCTATACTGGGGAGGGGGAATATTTGTCTTTGCCCTCTCGTGTCTTGAGGACAAGTTACAGTTGTCGAAAATGGGTTATCCGCGCGTTGCATGAATCTCAATTTCTTTTGAACATGTAAGGGGCCCACTGGTACGTGTAAAAGTGCACAATTTACTCCGTTAACACCACATTTAACTTTGATAACTGGCAGAACAGGCAGGCGGGCACGCGCTATCTGAGCACAATGACCCGAGTGACTAATCAAAGGGGGCTATATTTGAAACAGCAAGCCTTATTGCCCTAAGCGCCCTCGAAATAAAACCCAAAACTTACGTGCAAGCAATTTTGTTCTTGTCCAGAAGCGCAGAATTTTTTTCCCTATGATGCGCTAGAATACGGGTGAGCCGGTGTATTGACGCCAGAGTGATAATTATGAGCCGCCGAGCCGACGTTCACAATCGAACTGTGATCTATCTACTGCCGAGCAAATTCCTCCCCCCCCCCCCCCCATTGCATCCATCAATTTAATCCAGCTCGTGTACACGAAAATTATCTCAAAGCGCGCGCGCACTCTCTCAGTCTCTCCCCCCCAGAGACGCTCACTTCTCATTTGTCTGCCACTCGCTCTGTAATGAAGTCTTGAGCAGTGAGTGGTTCTCAGGTGACTGTGTGTGGGTCCCAGGTCCCATTTGGTGGTGGGTTCGTCCCTAGCTCCTGGCGGTCGGCGGTGGCTGTGATGCAAACGAAGGTTTGCTCCGGACAATGATGACGTTTATAACTTTTTTGTTTCGGACATTAATTAATATTGTACTTATGACATTACATTTCCATAAGAGTTTGTTTGGGGGGGGGGGGGTTATATCGCGTCAATATAAATGTGTCGTTTAAACCCGTCACCATCCCGACACAGCCCATTAGTAAGGTTCGTCACTCAAACAACGCAATTATATTTATATCGACACATTTACGCGATCTAACCCAAGCACCTCTATTATGGATAATATTGGTCGCGAAAGCCTACGTGTTAAACCGATATTTAATTTAAAAACCAAGTTAGGTAGAAGTACCCTAATCCGAAGATCTAAATGCCTTACCTAAAAAAAAAACTTATAGCTGTTTAAAAAAAAAGTTATATTCCAGTAACACAGATACATTACAATTAGCATTGCAATGTATCTGTGTGCATGCATATACACATATACATTACAACTAGCATTGCAATGTATGTGTGTGCATACACACCTTTACATTTCAATTAGCATTGCAATGTATCTGTGTGTATGCATACACCGATACATTACAATTAGCAATGCAATGTACCTGTGTGTGCATGCATACACCGATAACATTACAATTAGCATTGCAATGTATGTGTGTGCATGCATACACCGATACATTACAATTAGCATGGCAATGTACCTGTGTGTGCATGCATACACCCGTCTATTTACACATTTCCTGGTATGGTCAACAATGAACACGGGAAACAGAAGCACTCGACTTAGTTTGGATTGTAATATTTATTACTTTAAATAATGCATTAAAACGTGAACACTTAATCAAACCCAAAACAAACAGCTCAATCGTTCACCTAAAATAAAGTATCAACTGAAAATGAAACTGACATTTACTAAAACTAAAATTCTATCGAATTCTGTAAATTGTCTTGGGCTTATTTCACAAGTTAGTAGTGTTGGCTGAGAAGTCAATTTCACAACGCTTGGACAATAATCCTTGTAACTTTAGTATTGTATGCACTTAAGCCACCAAATTTCATGTCAGTGTCTATATCTTGCTTTAAAAACACTCTTGAACCCCCCCCCCCCCCCCCCCCCATCATTTAATATTGCTTGCATGCTGATGCGCTGTTTTTGTCGAGTTAAAAGGTGACATTGAGAGACAAAAAATGTAAACCTTTGTACCTTTTAATCTCAACTCAGCCACGATGTATTGCTTTGTTATCTGCCGTCTAACTTGTGCACCGTTTTTGCTTTCCCACGTGCCTCTTCAAGAAGAAGAAAGATGCAGCCTCAATGGACTCTCTTACAAATTCAAATGCAACTGAGCGTGTCTGCGTGCAAGTGTGCCGCGGTGTTTGACGGTACGCGTGCCGATGCGACGGTGCGCGCTGGCGGCTTGCGGGTCCAGGCGGGGCCTGCACACGGAAGTTGCAACCGCGCCCTCCCAAGAAGCCTCGACGCGAATTTCAGATTTGAAACGAAGTCGCCCGCTTTCGAGACTGCCGTCCTTAAGAGGTGGCGAGATGATGGCGTGCTTGTACAGACAGGATAGCCCAGATATCTTGTGAACCCCCCCATTTAAAGCTCTAAAACCTAATCTAATTTTAAAAGTAAAGTTCATTTAAAACATAAATGAATATGCAAAGGGACAAAAATGTCAGGGGGTCAACTAATCGGGGGTCATATCTGGACGACCCTGTAGATGTCAGGACGTAAGGTTACCACAGTCAAAGCCAACAACACCTGGGTATTTCAAGGCAGTATTCTGTCCAAGTATTAACCGAGCTCTAAAATTTGCTTAGCTTGCAAGACCTGATGATATTGCTTGCATTCAGGATGAGTTGGTCACCGGTATTATAAAAGAACAGTAATTTTACGTGGTGGTTTCAAACAGCCTTACGTAAAAAGAACAATTCTATATTCCTCATGATCGCTAAAGTTAAACTTATTCACAATACAAAATACTAGAATTTAACATGCTCAAATATAAGCGCGGGTCATTCATTTGTGTGCTCAAATGCTCGACACCTTAAATCTGCCTTGTGGCCGAGCTTCTACACCGTACCCGATGCAGTCCCCAAATTGTACATTTATTTCGGTGCCCAGCACAGACTTGGGACTGCTGGGTAAAATAACGTTCGACGGGATTTATTACACGCTTGGCTGTGCAACCACCATGGCAGCTTGTCCAGATTGGCGGTTTAAATTCTGCCCCCTGCAATCTCACTTTGCATAGGGCATTAACAAGATTAAATGTTTTCAAACTTGTAAATCAAACTATTGCGTGACTGCCTTGTTAATCAATACCCCCCTACACAAACCAACATCGGTGGTGCGTATCTCTGTTCCTGAGTCATTTGGAAATTCCACATTCCCAGAGCAGGAGCCAGCCTCTTCATGTGTCGACAACAATTGATTGGCCTGCAGTAAGTGGTCAAGTGGCACCAATTTTGTTGACCGTAGAGGGATCAAAATCTAGTCAGGTGTTTAACCACCGTCACCAGAAAAGGTATACGTGTAAACACACGCAAAAGTCACCGGTTCGCCCTTGCTGAAGATACATGGTATCTAAATGGGCTGATACCTGGATATATATGAATAATATGGCTGTGTCACTCTAGCAGTGATACCCACTGAAGAAATGTGGAATTTCCATCACTGGCTCAGGGCTGTTAACAGATAGGAGTGCTGTCTGAGACTTGAGCAGAGAGACACTTAAATAAGTTTTGACCAATAAATGATACGTCTATGAATTATTTAATCAGATATTCACCTTGCCGAAATGGCATCATTTGCCTTTTTTAAGGATACACTTTCTTTCTGTGAAGAAATGTGGCTCTGGTTCCAAAAAAAACAGGGAATGACTGTCATAAATCGCAAACAGCCTCGTTTAATTAATAATTATTCAGTCGTTCATCGGACATAACGTGAATGGAATTGACTTGAGGTAGCACACGCGCCTTTAAATAAAACGGCGACTCATCCAACGCCGGTTCATCATTTGAAGTTGCCAACAACGGGTGGCAATTCGCACCCTCGGGGAATGATTTCACACGGCCGCGGTGCAATTCGTGGCGATTGTTACGGCGGGGAGACCCAGGGGGGTGACACAGATGTGGCAGTTTCTGTTTTTTAAACGATACCCTCCAGCTGCATCATGGCTGGGCGGTGCGAGTGGGAGACACGGTCTGGTGAGCCCTAAGGTAATTCACCAGCGGCACTTTGGCAGAGCCAGGTTGGGCGGGGGGGGGGGGGGGGTTAGGTCCCGATCATCGTGAACTCATCAGGTGGTAAAAGTCCTCGTTGTGCCCCGTGTGAGCATGGGCGAGCACACGAAGGAAGATGTTATGCAGGGCAGAGTGAAAATGACTGTGAAGCTTTGCCGCGGGGCCCGTGTCGGACTGGATACATGCCGACACAGTGGTACAATGCTGCATCGAGCTACATTGTACTGGGTGGCATTGGTTGTGCTGGACTGTGCCATGTTAGCTAATATGAAGCTGTGTTACGTAAGTGCGTGCTAAGTTAAATTGCGTTTGCTAGTGCCAAGTCATATTATGTCAACTAGTGCAGTAACGTGTTGTTAACCGATGCATAACTGGATTATCTTGGCTCATACTCTCGAATATCGTGTTGACCGATACGCCACTATTTTGTGAGTTGATGTTGTGTTTTATTAACAAATGCAGGATTTCATTTACATTGGCTGTTCATTATTATATAATTCTGGGATATAACGTAACAGCCAGTGCAGTGGTGTGTTGAACTGTATTGCATAACGCTGGGCTGCATTGCACTGGGTGGCCATCAAATCGTTCAGCTTGCAGTCACGGGACATCTGTCCTCACGACCACCGTCCCCGCCACCACGTCGTAGCCCGCGCGGTTGTGCTGGTTGAAGAAAACGGTCGTCAGGGCCGGCAGGAAGGCAGCGATGGAGATGTTCTTGATGACGGAGCGAACGGCCGACCTGCAGCGGCAGAGGTCCACAATCGACGTGCACAATGTGCTTACAACGTGAAAAAATAATAATAAGAATGGGTTTTACCCTTTCTGGCAATAAAACAGAAGGCGTTAAGATTTTCCAACACCAAATAGAAACCTTTTGCAAGGAATCGTGTCTGCATTAATCACACGCACTTGTGGTGAACATGCAAACGAACATGCTCTAATCATAGATGCATTGTCTTTGAAACTGATTGCCCTACACCAGACAGCCTTTTTTAGGGCCTTGTCTCACCAGTGTCAAACCAGAGAACGCCAAAAGGCTAACAGTGCAAAGACAATGCACTTTCAGAGCATTTATAGCTTGGGGTGAGCAGTTACAAAATGGGACCTTTTTCCCAGTATAAAAGTATGAAAGGTTAAAACCTCTTCTTATTTTTTCATATTTTGATACTGGCAAAAAAGGTCGAATTTTGTGTTTACAAAAATGGGCCAATTCACATTGCTACACCAGTGATTGAAATATATATTTTTTAAGGGTGTCAAGAGGCTGCTTAATCCTCTGCCCTCCCGAGAACACTGCACAAGTTTTCATGAAAACTAAGACATCCTCAGAAGCTTTATCTATAAAACCTATCATGCAGCTTGCCTATACCATTGCACAGATGTGTGGTTTTTGGGCAAGATTAGCAATTATATAATTTTAAATAATTTCAGACTATATTCGTACGTTATTCTTATTACTTTTACATTACGCTGTGCACTAGCGCGATAACTGCACGTGTTCGATCACGCGTGTGTGGTTGTAAGCTCGCGTGCAAATACCTGCTGGGAGGACAGGGGCAGGTGGATTGAAGAATCAACCAGAGATTTCTGTTATTGCAAGTCTAGTATGTTGACGATTTACATCATGTGCAGCATCCGCTCCCGACAAAGGAGCACGTTAAAAAGAAACACCCGGACGTATAGCAGTCACAAACAACACAGAAGGCCCCATTCCATCGGACGAGTTGGCTGCTAAGACATTGCCACGGAGTTGGTTGCTTACGCCGCCATGCCGACGTTGGTGGGGTTGAGCAGCAGCACTCGGTCCGCCTGCACGGTCACGCAGCTGTCGCAGCTCAGCACGCGCATGCCCAGCAGAAATTTGCCTGGTGTTGCACCGCCTATGCCCCACACGCAGATCCACTACTCAAATGGGGAGTGCGCGTGTGGGTGTCGGGGGTGGGGGGGGGAACACAGAGTGAGAACACAGATGGAGCAGGCGCACGAGACATTGGTGAGAACGGCAGTAGACTACATTTTATGGGAAGTCACAAAGGGCAGTTTTCCTGCTCGGGCAATGATCCATTTACAGCCCTGAGTCAGCAGTGGAAATCCCACATTCCCAAGGCAAAGGCGTAGCCTCTTCATAGAACAATGCTGTTCAGTTCCCAAAATGAGGTTTGGTCAGATATTTTCTATTATGAAGATTTGACTGACACATGGTTTGCTATTGTTCAAGACAAACATTTGAAGTCAAAGTGTCTCCATAACCAAATGAACAAGAGACTGTTTTTGTCTGTGCATCTGGCCCTCAGCCAGCGGTGGAAATTCCACATTCTCATGATAGAAGCCAGTCACTCCAAATCAAAACCACTGCTGACTTCTAACAAAGTGGTTCTCATTTTAGCAAGCCTGGAAGGGTCGTGGGCCAAGGAGACCCCCATCTGATAATTATCTTCACCATGGTGCCATGCATCCGGTAAAGAGAGGGCAGCACAAACAATGGGTATAATTTTCCTGAATTATCATGGCAATATTGATCTCTGACATTTAATTTACTTGGAAATTAAAAAAATAAATTTGGTCAATAGATTTAGATGTCACGCTTAAGATTTCCCCAGGTTTCCACTCAATTGACTTTAGCTTTTACCAGGTTAAGTCCACATAGCACTATAATTGCGCACCTACTATTGAGGTTTCATCCTCAATTAGAAGTTGTATCACTTCTTCATAATACCATGTGGGCTATCTAAATCTGCATGGCTGGTTGTTGTAGCATATATTTGAGTGATCTCTGAACAAGTATAGGAGAGATATGAAATGAAATAAAGATGCTAAACAAACGATTGATAAACACAGAGCTCTGTAAAATTATCAGGAAGGAGAACATAAAGGCGAATGAAGATGTCGTGGCAATCAATGGCGGAAACAAAGTGGCATATACGAGGTTGAAATTAGCCAATGCACGCGTGGAAAATTGGATCAGAGCAACGGAGAGATAACAGAAGGAGAGCATAGTAATCATCCACCAATTGGCTGACAACGCAGTCACTATAACGATAGGTGTTTAAAAAAACACTACAACAAAATAATTAAATCAATCAAGAAGAGTACACCATTGGTAGCAGATAAACTTGAGCAAAAACAAAGTCAAGTGCAACTTCACGAAGCAAATTAAGATATCTCAGTAATAGGTTTTTACCCTTTTATCTGGCACCAAAACTGACACCTTTATACAAGGGATCATGTTTGCAATAACCACAACACAAGCAGTCAAAATGCAAACAAAAGAGACAACTCTGATAATATGCACTGTCCTTGAAATTGATTGGTCCACACCCGAGACGGCTTTTCTTAAAGCCTAGTCTCCACTGGTGTTGGACAGATTAAGATATCTATTTTAGGGACACAACTGAAAAACACATTAAAGTATGTATACCCAGGGCAGTTATTAAAAATGGACTGGGACCAAATTTATTAACTAAAAAAGTGACCCAGAGCAGATTCGAGTACTTTTAGAAAACTGAATTTTAACCTGCCAATGTGCCTATAGTAGAATTTGTTTCAGTATATATTACCTACTATGACATATGGATCATAAACAATGGACATTGACACAACAAATTGAACTAAAGATTAAAAGTGTGCAAAAGTGTACGGGGAGAAATGCATGGTTGCAATTAGACTGAGAGACGGGAAGAATAACCAAGAGTAAAAATTGGCCAACCTCGTACAAGCAAACCAAGAGTCTGTACACCAAGGCCACGATGATCATCCGTTGGATCTCCTCCACTGAGGTCTCCTCATTGATGTCCTCCAACAGCAGGTGCAGAGCAAAGTCAGAAGGGTCTCTGTTAAGAGGGATGAGCATTGACACCGTTCATTCGCTGTCCAGTTAATATTTTCGTTTTTCATTTAATACATTTAATACTTTAATTGGCAGTGTATTTTACAACCAGTAAACGTGCAGCACAGCTTAAAACACCAAAATGCCATCGCACCTCAAGACGCTATGCAAATCAGAATCTTGATTTAGCCTGGAGGAATACGATGAGCTATGAAGCTCTTTTTCACAGTTGTCCAGGAGGTGGCGGCTCAGTAAATAGGCATATTGACAAGCCTTGCAAAAAATAAATTGGAAGTGAGCGATGATTTTATGTGGGCAATAACTCAATGCAACTTTCTTTTCAATCTCCACGTTAAAATGAGTGAGTACATTTACAGCCCCATCTGGATTGTTATGTAGGTATTTCAGTGTAAACTTGTACGAATATATGCTTCGGTGCGGGCTGTGGTTAGAGTGCTAAAATAAAATCCTGTTTGGGGGTCGACTGAGCCCATTATTCATCCAGGGCTGATAAAATAACCACGACTTTGCAGGAGGTAAACATACTGCCCCAATGCACAGACTGGTATCCCCTCTATTTTATGGGGTATTTCTACCAGTGGCTCAAACCCACCAACGGAAATGAGCACCACCCACATTGCTTGTTTGAGCAGGTAGACAGTCTTGACATTTGACCTTGTGAACGTAGTAGCTGCAGCAGAGACGGATAAAGCGGCCGCTCCGCGCAGCCACACTCACTTGATGCCGCTGCGGTAGAGAATGCCCACCGTCACGGACACTTTGAAGCAACACAAGATGAGGAAGTCCACCGCCTCAGCCGCTAATCTTCTCGTCAGCGTTGGCACAGTGAATTGCCTCCCTGCGGGTCGCGTGGGAAGGCACGCATGGGGGGGGGGGGGGGCTCATAGGCATCCCTTGGCCTTGGTTTCTCACGCGAACAATCCCGGCAATCCGCACAATTGCCATTCAACTGCTGTTCCAATATGTTTTATGTTCACATCCGACAACAGTTTTGCACGAGGTACGGTGATGCATGTAACTGTAGACATACCCCACGAATAGCAAGATATTAGAGGCAAGGTGTTATTTTACAATCCTCTGCACATCTTTCACCAATCACGGTAAACACAAATATTTATACCCTGTTCTGTAGGATATTGAATCTTCACTTTCACGGTCCAGCACTGTATTGCCATCACTCTTTGAGAACTAAATAACATGGCTATACATGGATCATTAAACATGAAGAACCATGTCTAATATTTACAATGTTTCAATTTAAATCGATGTTCATAAATAATTCACCATTGAAAAGTGTGTAGCTACTCCGTATGTGATTTTTTTAAACACCTCATCATATTTAAATTAAGAACTGATCACAAACTACCTTTAAAACATTGTGACTGCCAACCCACACACGTCAACACGAATTACATCAACATTAACCCTAATAAATCCTTCACGTCCTATATACTGTATTGGTGCAGCAATTGGACATTAAAGCAGCGACTTGAGCTCACGCTCCCAGCACTCAAGTCCACACAAAAACTCAACACATAGGTCAATAACACTGCCTTGGAAAGGAAATATAACAGGCGACGTTTCGGGCAATGGTTCTTCTACACAGCACACAAAAAATAATAACCATTTCCTGGAACGTCGTCTATTATTATTATCTATTATAATTTGTTCCATTTAATGACACTGTTGTGTGTTGAGTTTTTGTTGTTGGTAAATGTGCACCACTGCTGCATTGGCAGAAGTAGCTGGAGCAGGCAGCGTCACCAAACGGTGCCACAGCAGAAAGATGGCAAGATGTGAACTGCCTCGCCTGGTATACAGGAGGTCGCTGGTCCACCGAGTTTGCATGTGTGTCTCTCGCTCTCTCTCTCCCCGTGGTCGCGTGGAATTTTTATCCCGGGTCCTCCGGCGTTTCTCAACCCAACATTTAGAAACAACGTGTGCGTTTAAGAGTATTTGGCTGTTGTACATTTCCACGCGATAAGCCACTTCGTTGGGCTATCATTTGTGATAGCCAGGTCGCTTCTGCAAAAAAAATTAGCTATGCAGCTCAGTGTGAGCCTTACTTGGTAAAAGAAAAATAGTTTACATCATGGGACCTCCTTTGGCAGTATCAAAATATGAGAATAGATTTTCCCCTTTCTTCTGGCAACAAAACAGGTGTTAAGACGTTAAAACACCAAACTGAAACCTTTTACAAGGAATCATGTCTGCATTAACCACAATACTTGTGGTCAGAATGCAAACAAAAAAAATACTCTGATAATAAAAGGTTTCAGTTTGGTGTTTTAACATCTTAACACCTGTTTTGTTGCCAGAACAAAAGGGGAAAAACTATTCTCAAAAGTAGTTTAGTTTAGCTTTTTTTTTATCCGCCCACAAAACTCATTCCTGGGGAGCTTGAGTTGCCCGCTGCTGAGCAGAGTGCCAATTGTAACACGTGGCCATACCACTCGTGGCCATACCACTCATGGGTCACATTCATGGGTACGCCGCGCACAATTTCCACAGCACGATAAAGCCACCAAGTCCCCCGCCTCACCCTTTACATTCACGTTGTGGAACGCTTTCCAAAACTACGTAAATTTGCCACGCGTGTAATGAGTGCCACCGTTGTGTAAAGGTCTGAGCGTAGCAAAGGTCGCACTCGTTTGCACGCAAGAGCGCTAATTGCCACGTAATGACATTTTGATGACCCCGTCAAAGATAATCCCATCGAGCAAAGCCGGTGCGGCCCTCCCAACCGCATCGCGCGCGCTTCCAGACGCGCTTCTGCGGCCGTCTGGAACGTTCTTCCTCCCCAGATTAAGAAGACCGCCGTAGCTATGCACTTTATTTTTTTATTTTCAAAGCATCGAGATGTACACAACTCGTTTTTGTTTTGTTAGAACTGCTTTTTTATGTGTGTGTGTTAAGTTATCCTTCCCCCTCCCACCCCGCGCACCTCCGATTGCTCGCACGGTTCGGGGCTACTACGCACGCTGCGAAACACGTTCAACACGCAGACACACACACAGACACACACAGCACCGGATAATATATCACAAATGCCAACCTGCTTGATGTCCTCCCTGGCCGGTCAGGATGTTGGCGGCACCTTGCGCTCCGGGCTGTCTCTGCTGCTGCTGCTGCCTGTCAGCAGGACTGCCGTGAGACTGCACGGGCACCACCCCGACTGCATGCTGCTGCTGCTGATAGCCGTGGCAAGCGGGCGGCGTCCCGCCAGCAGCACCCGGGTAGACGTAGGCCCAGGGAGGATACTGCATCACCTGCCATGCCAGGGTCTGAGCGTAGCACAGGTCCAGCCACTGGCGAAGTCTCTGTACGTATTGGAACGACGATGATGTTGATGATGATGGTGATGATGGTGACGATGATGCAATCCTATGGGCCCTGCTCGGAATTGGAGACCTGGTCCGGGAGTCCAACTTGTTCTCGTCCTTCTTCCCATTGCTGCTGCTGCTGCAGGGTTGGGGGTTCTTCACCGGTCTTCCACTTTCATCCGCCATGGCAAATCGCAAGTACGGGTACAGTGTCGCTGTAATAATAAATAAATAAAAATTAAGCAACGTTGTATTTTGCTTCCGGGGGATACACAGAGAGAGAGATATGAGTGAATTACTGCCCTCTACTGTCACGTTGTTAACACTGCACTTGATTTAGGTGGCCCGGGCTTCCAAATCCTTGAGACATCTTGAGTGGGGTGGGGGGGCGAAACGTCGTCAATCGGTGAGCTCCGGCAGGCAAATGATGCGATGGCTGTGGGTCACGTCGCCCGCAGAGTTGTATAGTGCCGGATGAAGCTAGTGCGGGGCCTGTTACATATGTTATAAAGGGGCCCTATATATAATTGTTTTTAAATATGAAAACACAATTTTTTACTTGCATAGTAAAGTAAATGTATTTTTTCATTTGCTATACGGACAAATAATACGACAAATCGCTAACGTTAAACACCCAGTCGTTCATTAAAGTTGAAGGCGGTATAGTACTATAGTAATAGAGCAAGTGCAGAATCACTGAACCGGAATTGATAGTTCTAGATTTGAAGCTTTCGTGACTGCAAGGATCCATACTCTTTGGTTCTATTCGGTAAAGTCACGTAGGTAAAACATAAAAAATAAAACAACAAAAATCACGACGTTTCGGCCACAACACAAGCGGCCTTCATCCGGTGAAGGGACCAGACTGTCTCGAGGACAGCGCTGGAGTGAAACAATTGATAGCTTGAAAGCGTTTAGCGCGGGGCCCTTGAACATTGTGGGGCCCTTGAACATTGTGGGGCCCTTGAACATTGTGGGGCCCTTGAACATTGTGGGGCCCGTAGCTAGCGCGCGGTTTTTGACCCCCCCCCCCTCGTCACAAGTCAGAACCCCCCCCCTCAAATATGACGTCACAAAGCTCTGCCCCCCCCCCCAAGAAAAAAACATGCTTCACATATCTTTAAACTATTGTCACTGTAGTGCGTATTCAATGTGGCGCTGCACTCTGATGTTGTAGGAGAAAACATTTATATAAAAAGTCTATTTAATTAAGTAGAACGTGTTGTCTATATTTATTTAAAGTTGCGCATTTTGATGTGACGTCATATTTCTCAAACCCCCCCCATCGTCACAAATGTCTGACCCCCCCCCCCTAGGTGCGTGACGTCATTTATGTAAGATTATATTCATATTCTTAGCTTTTTCGGTAAAGTCACGTTGAAGGGAAACAATAAAATATATATAACAATAAAAATTCTCACGACATTTCGACCGTAACACAAACGGTCGTCATCAGGTGTAAGATTAAGGAAGTTTCAGAAGCCAACCCATGCAAGGAAAGAAAGAGCACCTATTAAACTATTTATTGATATATTTTCTATTTGACCAGGTGAGACCCACTCAGCTATATATATTTTTTTCTGAAGCGACCTGGTCCTGTGGTAAAACATATCAACACACAAGCTTTGATCATGTTTGCATTGTCCTTGAAAAATGATTGGCCTACATCAGAGACAGCCTCGTGTGCTAGAAACGTGCGTTTAGAGTATTTGTCTGCCATAAATTTCCACGTGATGATAAGCTACGTCGTTGAGCTATCATTTGTGGCCACGTCGCTTCTGAAAAAGAAGCAAATATTTTTATTTAAAGCTTTCGTTACTGCAGGGATTCATATTCTTGGTTCTTTCGGTAAGTCACGTAGAAGGGAAACAATAAAATAATAAAAATATAAAACAATAAAATTCTCACGAAGTTTCAACTGCAACACAAGCAATCATCATCAGGTGTGAAAACCACAGCAATATTTTTTTAAAATTTTCAGTGGGACTTATCTGGCCAAAATAATACGCGTATTTTTGGTATTGTTTGTTGTTGCTGCAACTCTCTGACCCATCCCTGCCTGGGCATCTGTGCGAAATAGCTTTAAAGCTCATCGAATTCCTCCAGGATAAATAACGATTCTGTTTCTGATCAAAAGGAATCTCAAATCAAATCAATAAAAAACAGAGGTCACCTCCCCGCGCCCTACAACAACATCGAGGTGACTAATTTAAATATTTATTACGCGGCGTTCGATTGGTTCAAACTCACCACGCGCGTCGTCCAATCGGACGCCGTCCTCGCATAATTTATTTATGAATCAGCAGCCCAAGATGGCCGCGCTGGACGGAGCGGGCAGAGCGGAGCGAGCGGCCTTGTTATTGTTGTTGTAGACGTTCATTCGAGATATAATGATGTTATCATCGTCGTCGTCGTCAGTCTCCTCATCGTCGTTAGCACGGTCACATTAGTCGGTAACGACTGCGGCTATTTTACACGCGTTCAAAGCTGCCGACGCAGCGAGGCCCTGGTGGGTTAGCGAGGATGCCTCTGTCCATGGAGTTGCAATTGCAGAGCATCTTCGACGATGTGATTGTAAGTGGGGGTTTTTTGTTGTTAAAATCACTCAGGGGTTTTGCAATGTATCCACAAATACGTTTGCATCTTGCACTGTGACGCACCGACTTCGGATCGTGGCCGTACGTGTTGCTGGTTTCCCGCTTCTTCTGGAGATCTTTTGAGTTCCTAAGAATCCTAGATTTAAAGCTTTCGTGACTGCAAGGATCCATACTCTTTGGTTCTAGAGTATTCCTAAGAATCCTCGGGTTGCCGTGGGCTCTTGTGAGCATCGGGCGTGATGCAACAAGCCGACGAATGTTGATGGGACCCCTCAAGTCCACCTTCATGAGTCTTGGCATGAACAATGAGCTCAAGGATTGCGAGATATCTCCCCCTCGTTTTTAAACCCCGTTGATGCCTTCGTCTGGCGGTGTGACTGCGGCTTTAAAGAGTGGATCATTAAAACAAACTCGGAAATATGCCTTGTGGTTGGCAACTGCTGTGTTCGACTTTTGTGGGTTTTAAACACTGAACCCTTACGGATCTGTAAGCGTGCCCGAGAACTCGCTCTTTGAGGAGCGAGTGTTAACGATGATCCAGAAGAATCCTTAAAAGGTTCCGCCTTAAGTCTTGTGAACCTGGTGCATTCATTAACGAGGTACCTTAGGAATCCTAAAAAGTTACTCTTTGGTTCTTTCGGTAAAGTAACGTAGAAATAAATTAAATAATATAATTCGCCGTTTCGATTGATGATGGTTGCTTGTGTTGCAATCGAAACGTATTCTATTTAATTTATTTTCTTTCTACGTGACTTTACCGAAAGATCCAAAGAGTAATTCCTGCAGTCACGAAAGCTCCGAATCTAATCCTAAAAGTTGTTGGCTGAGTCTCGTTGATGATTACTGAAAACCCTTGGACTGCTAAGTGTGCTTTGGTATGGATCTCCGTTATGGGCATTACACATTACCGTCTTGACTTCGCTCGGTTCCCAAACTCGACGTGTTTTCACTTTAAGGCCACGTTGTCTTTTCCTGTACGTGTACTGCACGTAAAAAACAAGCATACTCGAAATGCGCGATTACAGTTGTGTGTGTGTGGACCTACGTATTTGAAAAGTTTCGTGTTTTCAGGTTTACCTTGAGATTAGGTGGTGCAGTGTAAATGCCACATTCCTATGGCGGGGACCAGTGACTGCAAGGACGACCACCATTCGTTTTCCACAGTGGCATTAATCTTCTAATGGTCCCCAATAAATGAAGGACTCTGTTTACTATCGTTTCGGAATTGCATTCTAAGCCTTTGGTTGTGAGATGCCAAATACAATAAATAATGTAATTGTTTTATGGTGATTATGACAGCATTGTGATACGCAGTGATTGACCGTGTGTTTTTATGTGTTTTTAGAAAACAGAACTCATTGAAGAGGCGTTTGCGGGGTAAGTACAGTACACTATTGGTTTTATGGCTAATCCTGACAATCTAGTTTTAATTAATATAATTGTCACAAGTACATGTTCACAAATGTGTTCCATCCATTATATTATAGAATTAATTCAGAAATCCAGTGGCTCCACACTTGTTGAGGAGGGTCCTGCATTAGAATGTTTAGTAATTCCTGTTTTGAAATTGGCAGGAAAACCGGATTGCCAAGGATAACACTCAGGGCCACACAAAAGGATTAATGTACTGCCATTTTCTGGTCCCCTCTGCTCTGCAAAGCATTGCCTCCAATTGGAAAGTGTTTAACCACCTTTGTCGTGAAAACAAATGAATATGTCCAAGTAAAGTATGTTTTCCTACTCAAGCAAGCATTGCAGCAGCATTTCTCTGTTGGCAGTCCTGAGCTAGTTGTAGAAATCCCACATTTCAGTGCTAGGATCTAGCTTATCTGTAACATAACCACTCTTGATTTCCAACAAAGTGGAACATATTTTGCTGATCACGAAAAGATGATAGTCTTGAGTTGGACCCCAAACTAGAAATGTATTAGTGAAAGGCTGGGAATTGAAAAATGTATGCTGTGTAACAAACTAATGTTTATTTTGGCATTGCCCTTATTCAGAGCAAACATTTTAATTTAAAACGTTTCTATATTTGTTTATCAAGCATGTTCATGGACACGGAAGATGATGAGAAAACAAAACAGATAACTTGTCTGGCAGCCTTCAAGCTGTATTGGAGCTCACTGACACAGGTATGGATTTGTTAAAGGAAAACACCTCTCAAACTATGAGCATAATAATTTATTTTATTTGAATAATCGTTACATGCCAGCTGTTGATAATGCTGCACTGTCTCTTACATTTATAACCTTAGTGCATGTTTTATTTACATGTTGCTTATATAGTTTTGAAGTAGGGAATGCTATATGTAGAGACATTTTGGATGTGCTGGACATAGTGGTAATTTATCATCAACTTCAGAACGATTGTAAGGTTTTCATATTGATGGAATAAAGAGGAATTGTACTTGGTAATTTAGGACCTACTCATGGAAAAATATGCCTCCTAGTTTAGTAACAAATAGGTCAAAGAGCAAGTGTTGTAATTAAGCATTCATTAAGGTTGGCAGAGCATATGACGATCGCGCCAAAGGAGATCACAAATGAGCCAATTGGGATTTTTACATCGCAATCACCACCCCCGACTAGCAGACTAATGCCCCGTTTGCAGGCAATGTTGAGTCACCTTGTACCAAGAGGGAGGTCTGCTACTAGGGGGGTCCCTTCAAATGTTTGATATAACACAATGTTTAGCACACTGAGATGCCTTGGAATTTAGGGTGCAATATCAAAAAGAAATCGTTATAGGTATGCCATTTAATTGCTGCAATATATATGAACATATTGGATTATATGCTGGTGAGGATGCTGCTATTTTAAATGCGAAAAGGATTTATCTCGTGTATAACGTTATTGTGCGTTGTTGCAGGAATCTCACGAGCAGTGCGTACAATGGGTGGTGCGCTTCATCCACACCCAGCACAGTCCAAAGAGAATCTCCTTCCTGTACGACCTGATTGCGACTGCGGTGGAGACGTCTTTACTGCCACCCAGGTAAACCAGTCCACTTGTTCCCTAGTCTCAACATAGAGTATCTCAGATTAGAGGATCTATAAATGGAATGTTAATGTAAATGCCGTTCATATTTAGCCGGGCGGTGGTGGCGCATGCCTGTAATCCAGCACCGTGGAGGCGAGGATTGGTGGATCACAGAAATGTTGTGAAACTTCCTTCTTATGGTGTCGAGGTGTAATACCCTGGCTTTCCAGGAGAATGTGGTATGTATGTTGAACTTCTTTCGCACTGTAAGTAGCCAACCATGTTAATCAGAGGTGTGGGGGAAGGACAACAAACTAAACACGTAAATCAGTTCTAAAGAAATGTATTTCAATGTAGAAAATGTAGACCCCACCTGTTCCATCTGTATGGGATATAGTGTTGCCCTGTAGCACTATTGGGCCTTCCCCCACAACTTTATGTATATAAAGGACTGCAGAGCTTTGGGGGAAATTCGGCACCGGCTCACTGCTTGGCTGCCTAGAACAACTGGATTGGTTGCACTGCCCTCTGCACACATCCCATACGATACCTATTCATTGTGCATGCTGGTCACCCACCCAGGTTCTATACAGTCTCAGCCCTGCGTTCTGGGTGGTATGGTCATGGGCACATGATATGCATATGTTCCCAATGTATTGCTGTCGCACTACACTTTGCTGCAGACTCGTCTGTGAGACGCTGATCAACTCTGAGCACCTGGAGTACGAGAAGGCTCAGCTGTGGTCACTGACATTCAAGCTTGTGCGGAAAATCATCGGGGGTGTAGACTACAAAGTGAGTAAACTGCATTGCGTGTCTGCAGTAAACCTGGTTTATACAGGGCAAAAGAACTACCCGTACAATTTTTTCGAAATATATTATGAGTATATGTTTCAGTAAAGTGTGCACAAGTGCTATTGATGTTTGGGTGCCTTATAACTTACGCAGGGTGTTCGAGACTTGCTGAAGGCTATCTTGGAGAAAATTCAGACCATCCCCATCACTGTGAGCTCGTCAGTCGTGCAGCAGCTACAGACGGCGAGAGATGTATGTATTGAACTCCCAGCTTGCTTTAAATGCTGGGTTTAGAGCTAATGTATTAATCCATATTGCTCACATTGTATTTACTAGCCCATCCAAGGACGGGTGGATTGCAGTGAGTGTGAACCTTGCAAGCGAAAAGTAGACCGCGACATAATATTCATTGCATAAATTCGTGTGCAATTTGTAAGGCCACGATGACACAGACTTATTTCATTTCAAGGTTATAATCCCTTGTTCATCATGACGTCCTTTTTACTTCTATGTCTCAATAGCGTTACGGAGATCGCGTGACGTGAGGGTTCTGCCTTTGTAGTGAGGGTTGTAAATTGACACTGAGGAGGGGGGAGGAGGTGCCTCGCCCCCCCCCATGTGGAGTGATGTCACCTGCTAATTATTATTAATGCGGGGGGTGGGGTGTCCATTTGGAGGACGTCATCTGTTAATGATTATTAATGAGGGGAGCTGGTCGACGTGGAGTGACGTCACGCGTGGGGCACAGACATTCTTGGCTCATTATATATAGTAAATAATAAAAGGGAAATTTGTGAATGTGTGTCTGTTCGAAATGTTTAGCATACTTCCCAACATGCAACAAACTTGAAATGCATGTGGGTAGCTTCCAGACTGTACACAATGAAAAAAGTATAAAAATCGATTTTTGTATTTTGTAATTCAACAGGGCACTTGTCACATTTCATACATTTTACAAGGATCATTTTATGTGGACATAACCTTTAAAGAGGAGTCTTATTTTTCCTTTACCACATTATGTTGCTTTACATAGCTTCCATTGCTTTTTTTCCAATTGCCCAGTGTCCATGTGAATTCTGACATTCCACATAATTGCCCATCTAATCACTGTCGCTTGTGTACCCCTTACATCTTCCAATTCAAAGTTTGTTTGCCAGCCTGCTACCTCATTCTTAATAATCATACCACTTCTTAACTCCAGAACTCATTGCCCACCTATTATTCCAAAAGTACCCACACGTTATAACAACTTGTCTTTTAAGGTATGACACAACCAAAAAATTATAAAATGCTTATCTTGTCCACTGATAAGATACGTCTTAAAGGTTCCATTAATGATAAAAAAATATTTGAAAACCACTGTCAGGCACCACAGGCATCTTGTATCAAATCATATGGCAGTGATGTCAATGACAACTTTTGAGTACCATAAAATGTCGAACAGCCTGGAACATGCATCCTAGGCACATATCTACAAGAGCTCTTTGTTTTTTGGGGTAGCCTCTCCCACTAACTCTGCTTTGAAATGCTTTTCACTAACTAGCTATGACTATATTTTTATTTTACCAGATAAGGCCCACTAAGCTATATAGTTATTTTTCAGAAGCAACCTGGCCACAAATTACAGCTCAATGGAAGTGCCTTATCCTGTGGAAATGTATAGCAGCCAACTACTCTAGTCACTCTCAACAATCACCAGGTCACTCTCAACAGTAACTATGTTCACAAAAGGTTTAGTCACAACTTTCAATAACAATAAGTATGAGTAGATGTTTCAGAACGATTGCGGTGTGCTGTGTAGCAAAGTGATTTTTGATTCTGTGGTTGCAGGTGGTGATGTACATACTCGACCGCAACGCATGCCTACTGCCTGCTTACTTTGCTGTGACGGAAATTCGAAAGCTTTACCCGGAGGGCAAGCTTGGCCATTGGGTATGTTTGCATTGCAAAGGTGGCTTCTGTTTTGGGGATCACATTTAGACTTCACATGCATCTTCTAGCAATCGCATGAAAGGTTATGTGGCTACATACTAACGCAACCCAAACGAATTGTTTTATGTTGTCCTTATTAAGCATCAATTGATGGCCTATATCCCTGTTTTGTACAAAACTGCTGATTCACCTTTGAAACCCTGTCACATGGCCTCCTGCTCCGAGCACTTCCTCTTCTGTTTTTAAAAATGTTCAGTTCACTGATCTTTATTGACTTAAAATAACCTCCCACTTTACACTGTCATTATGCGGCTTTAATGCTGGCTCCCGTCGTGGGCTTTGTGTGAAGACTAGGCGGCTAACTAATTCACCATTGGCTTTTATTGTGCACGTAAGAATAAATGATTTAAAATTGAATTGAATCGTGAACCTTTAGGATATTGAAACAATCTGGACATATTAGACATCACATACAGATGAGAAAGTATAAACTAGACAATACATGTGTGAATCAAATCATGACTCTTATAAATGATCATTATTTAATATTGGGTTGGTGGAGGATAGGGAGTGTGCATAATTACATGCTTATCCAATGAGTGAAAGGTATATTAGCCACAACACACTGATGTCACGAGAATGTGATGTCCGGTAACCACTCTCACTGAAATTTAATTATTCTTGTCTCACTAAGAAAGTTTAAATTATATCTTGCCTGCGACATGACCTCAATATATGTATAAAGAGCTTCAGTTTGGGTTGTGTTTTTGTTCAGCAGGGGTTTGTGTGATGCAGCTCGATATGTAAGCTGTGACCATGTGTTTAATGTGGACTCTGCTTTTCCTTTTTCAGCTGCTCGGTGGACTTGTATCCGATTATGTTGACAGCTTCAGACCAACTGCAAGGATAAACTCGATATGTGGTAAGAATTCATTTAAAAGCAACTTTAAGAAAAGACAGTCTTTATAGCCACAGTTGTTTTTATCTGCAAACTACCATTGAATAGTACCGACATTTGCAATTTTCCAGTTAAAAAATAGTTTTTAAGCTCAAGTGGAATACTTGAAAGAGTGTTTTTAAAACAATTTAAATAATCAGTACTGTTTGGTTATTATTTTTGTGGAAAATTTCGCTAGTAGGGGTCAGTCTCTGTATGAGGTGGCATGTGCCAAAATTTAATTGTTTTATCTACTTTTGAAAGATGACTGAATAGTTTTAAATCCACACAGGATTTTAACTTGTCATATTAATACTTTATTGTCATATTAATACTTTATTGTCATATTATGATATTATGATTGTAATTTTAGTTATTTAACCACAGTGATATTGCTGTTATAAGGGGCTTCTTGAAATTGTGATGACATCCAATTCAAATGGCATTCACATAAATGTAAACTAAGACCCAAAAACCAGTTTTAATGTTTCGTCTGCGCAGGTCGCTGCAGCCTCTTACCGGTTGTGAACAACTCGGGAGCAATCTGCAACTCATGGAAACTGGACCCGACTACTCTCCGCTTCCCACTTAAAGGCTTGCTTCCCTACGACAAGGCATGGCCTTGGACATAACTCTTTTCCAAATCCCAAACCCTTCCTTACACACAACTATTGCTGCCATTCACCACTAAGTGGCGCTGAAATCACTGTCGCTTGTGTACCCCTTGGTAATTGAAGGCCACGTGACGTGTTGAATGATCACTGGTTGGGGTCTTGCTGGGTTTTAGCCCACTTAGCACTCTGAAATTGTTGTGGGCATTGTTCGTCTGTCTCGTGATGTTGCTGGAAGACAGCTGCGACCAACTGCCCTGTAACATTCATTGCCATATACCTCTAGAGAAACTGTTCTTGACACTGATAGGTCCAGTCACCACAAGTCCACTCAACTCCAAGTCCTCTTGTGTATTATTAGACCATCTCTTCTCCAGTCCATGTTGTGTCCATCGAGTCTGTCTGTATGGTCAAAAAATATTTTATTGACTATGCGGTGTGGCTAGGCATGCAGGCTATATAACCCAGACGACGTATCCTCGCCTGCCAGAGGAGCTTACTATTGAGGCCAACTATTATAAGGATGTGTGAGCTTGAGAAATCTAGTCTAGTTAAGTCCATAATAAGGCTAGTCTTTTTCAAGCTGGCTCAGATGTTTATGAAAAGCGGTCCATGTTTCACAAGCATAGAAACGATCGGGAAATGATAGTGGCTGATAAGACATGTTTTATGTGGAGCTGCCATTTAAGAGGCAGCTTCGACACAATGTTACACAGCTGATGAAAAGATTATTCCGATGGACTGATTTGGCATGAGCCCTCTGCTGCCAAACCGGAACTGGCTTTGAACACACTTATCAGGGGCAGGAAGTCTTCTACCTTCCCCCTAACCACCCCGATACTCATGGAGAATTGAAGAGGTAGAATTTTGATTGCACGGAGTGTTTGTACAGGCACATTTATTGCATTGGTGGGGCTTCTGTTAAGGCTCCACTTCATGGTTGACTCAGTGATCAGCAGTTACCAGGTCATTACTATTTTTTTGTTGACCAATAGGAAAACAAAACTTAGCATGGGCATCGATCAACTCTCCACCAGATGGAATTGTTTGCCGCATTGCAGATGGATCATTTGTAATTTGTTTAGTTATACAATCCTGCATATACTTTAGGAAAATCGTGATTGCTTTTGTTATAATCTTACTTTTTTGTTTTTTAGGACCTCTTTGAGCCCCAAACGGCATTGCTCCGCTACGTGCTGGAACAACCGTACTCTCGCGACATGGTTTGCAATATGCTTGGCCTCAACAAACAGGTACACACGCACGCAAGCGCACGCTGATTGCAAGTCTTTGAAAACGCACCTCTTTTTTTCGATTTAAAGCTTTCGTGACTGCAAGGATTCATCTTCTTGGTTCTTTCGGTCAAGTCACGTAGAATGAGAAAAAAACGGTAAAACAAAAGAAGACGATAAAATTCTCACGGCGTTTCGGTCACAACACAAGTGGCCTTCTTCAGGTGAAGAAACATGTCTAACCAGGAGACAGAGCTTGAATGGACGCTGTCACGCAAGGACCGAGTCTCTTTAAAGCTGTATGAGCGGAGTTGGATTTGCAGAGTTTGATTAGCATGTTACCAGCCCCCACCTCAGGGGCGGAGGAGGGAGGGGTGCTGGTAGGAAACAAAACAATTTCAAAAGGTAAACAAGTGCCTGCAGCCAAGGTGCGCTGCTGTGTACTGAGTTGCATTATGACTATGCTATAAACAGGACTACTATGTAATACAATATTATACCCTCCAATCTAAACTACATGGTATAACATAGACAAATTCCACCTTTGAATTATACAATGCTTTACTTTACACTACCCTATACTTTAGACTATAAAATATTAGACTTGTAACATTATGCTATGTCTTATTCTATGAATCCAACTATATACCACACTACTGTATATGCACTATGCAATTACGATGCTATATATTGCCTTATGAGTTATGTTAAACATTACAATGTTATACTATTAATTGTTATACTCATGTTATAAACCATACCATTAACCGTGGTGTGAGAGGTATTAAGAGGCAATGCCAGCGAATAGAGTCTTGATGAGCCCAATGCATTTCCGACCAAAATAAGCAAGAAGATGCACCTGTTTTTTTTCGTTTTAAAGCTTTCGTGACTGCAGGGATTCATCTTCTTGGTTCTTTCGGTAACGCACCTCTTGTAAGCAGTTAATATCCAAGGCCTCATCGCTGCATTTGCATCAGAATTGTCGTGTTTTCTTGCTATGTCACGGTTTCCTCTGCGAGTTCCAGATGCATGATGAAGCCTCAGCTATCTCAGAGCAACCTTCGTTGAAATGCTAAGCTGAAGTTAAATGGAGCAAATTTGCATGCACTGTTACGTAAAACAAATGTTATGTGCCCGTGTTACGCTCTTAAACACGGGGTGCAACACTGAGTAAACAAAGTTGCATGCAACTTTGCAACGTGATGCAACTTTGTTCAAACTTTTTGTGAAAATAGTTTCATTGCACAAGCAATAAGCACCCTAATTGGGTGCATGAGTTATGTGGTCGTTACAGCAACCTGCTCCAACATGACCGAGTTTGTTTTTTGTATACATGACAGCAAGGAGATGTTAAATAAGAATTTAGGATTTTCTGTCTATGATTGTAATTATTAATACCTTTGTAAATATAATTTTGTTAATTTTACCCAGTTCTCTGAAATGCTCAGATATTTTTGTTCATAGGGTAAACAGTTGATTTTCCTTACCTATACCTCCTGCTGGGCTCCTTGAGTCATAAAGAAGGGACCTCCACTCTAAATAGACATGGGCCCTTATTTACTTTAATGGCTCAATTATGTAATTGTTGTGTTCCAGAAGCAGCTTCATTACATTTTTTTACATTAATTGTTGAGCAATATTTGAAGAGGGCAACAAAGTCACGTGCAAGAACTTTGCACCGTTTAGCTTCAGGCTCAGATTAATTTACGAAAGGCTTCACAGCGCCGCTATTGGCTGCTTGTAGTCTCGTGGTCATAATAATGATTGCTTGACCGCCGACAATCAAGTGGTTCAGTCTCATGAACAGTTTGGTCGATTGTGTTTGGGTAAATCTGTCACTGCGGTGGATCGCATTCAGTGTTCACCTCCATCATGAGGCTTTCTAAGAATTTAACATCATCGCAAAACTAATGCAAGTCTGTAAGTAACCTGTAGCGTCCATTCACCACATCTTTGTTGCCGTGCATGTTGAACGCGATAGGTCTTGCCGCTGCATTTCTTACCCACGTTCGGTGTTCGTTCTTGTGCCTCGATCCCTGCATATAACCGGTTCCCATCGTCATTTGTTTTCTTTTCTGTAGACGTCAAACATCGCACAGGTATGAGCAGCAGCAGGTCTTCTCAAAGCAAATGCACTAACCGGGCGCTGAGCATTAAAGCCGAGGCGCTATACTCGTTGTTTTCCCCGCAGTTAATGTGTGGTGTTCAATGCGGTCACGCTGCTACGGTCGGTGTGCCCTGCTAAGCTGTGGTGCATTAGCAGTTTCTATGCATGTGCTGGCTAATATAAGGTGGATGGGATGTGCTGCATTTAATTTAGTATGGTTCAGCACTTGGGTACACATTGCCATTACATTTCTTTCCATCGTATTGACTGGCTTGCCAATGTCAGCGGTGATGTCAATTAGTGGATTAGTACACTGTAAAAACCTTCCGACATAAAATTATATTAAGGATGAAAACTCTACCGATAACCCACTTCATTGGCAAAAATAATAACAGTCCCTTTTGTTTGTGTGTCATTATTTAGGTTCTCTAAAAAATTACACACGCACTGCACAGGTATAGAGGATTATGAAAATCTCCATGGACGCAATATGGAGCTTTAGGTTTCATGAGCCAGGCACAGTACAATTCCTCCTGGTATCCGACAAACAAGTAAATGTAATGTGTCCATAATACAGATTTTTTTTTGGGGTTAGATCGCATACATCTATAAATGTGTTGTGAAACTCGCTACCACCCGACACAGCCAACTAGTAAGGTTTGTCACGTAAACAGAACATGCCAATTCGTCACTAGTACAGCACACCGGTGTGTTGGATAGCTATTTGGGTGTGTCGGGTGGTGGCGGGTTTAACGACATATTTACACGATCTAACCATAAAAAACCTGGATTTTGTATGATATTGGTTGCAAAAGCCAACGTGTTAAACTAAATGTAAAGTGTATTCAGTTTGTCACTGAGTTATAGAAAACTGATTAATCACAGAGATCACTCCACATTTAGGCTTTTAATAATGACAGGTGTGTTCCTTTAGTGAGTCCTATATAACAATCATAATATATGTTTGCATGTTATATTCAGCATGCACATTTGTCGCATTATGTACTTTATTGTGGGCTCGGTAGTGAAATATAGTGGCAATGTATGAAATTAAACATGGTGCCACCTTTTTTTTTTAGGGATTGTGGTTATTTTCAGATACGCAATATGTATGTATGTTGAAGTTTTTTTCTGATCGTATGTAGTCAACCGTGCTAATCGGAGGTGCAGGGCAAGGACAACAAACTGAACTCAAAAAGAAGTACTCAAGAAAGGAGTTCTCAATCTAGATTTAACAGTGCATAGCTCCCAGTGGCTTCCAAATATCGGAAGGTAGAGTGTTCCAGATGGCCGCAGAAGCGCATATGAAAATGCGCAATGCAGTGACTGTTTTTGTTCGATGGTTAGCTTAAAGCCGCTGCGAGGATGACCAGAGTTTGCGTGATGGTTTATGCTCCTTAATGGCAGTAATTGGCTGTTCAGCATTAACAGAAAAAAACATTTATTTGAAGGGTTCCAGGAAGTATTAACAGCCAGTAGAGATATGGATTATAAACATCATGGAGAGAGGAGATAACTTTAAACTACTACTTTAAATCTAGAATACAAAAGATTTTACAGAGATCATCACAGCCAAATGCCATTCCACCACACCCTGACATCGCTTCCTCTGCTATATACCTCAGTTGCACAGTCAATATCCGAACCCCAATGAATGCTCTTACTCAGCTTTTAATGATTCACAGTGTAAAATAGATTAATGTATTCAATCGTGTGTGTGTGTGACAATCGACAACTTATACAAATGGAATGCAAATTCTATGAGGTTACTGTTAAGCTAACGGCATGAACAAGGAAGAATGAGCAAGACGAAAATAATCAATTCTTGAATGGAGTCATGACCTAGAATGATGACAAGGCATCTTTGCCTGCCAAGCTCCGACAGTATCCCACTATTTTGCTTTAGGGGCTTCGCCTTGTTGCACAGCAGTTGACACGTCCTGCAAAAGCTGCCCTTACAGCCTTACCACCGCCAACCGCAACCATCTCATTCGGCTTTAGCTCTTCCTCTTGACGCAGATGTCCAAGTGCCCCCACTCTGTTGTCTGCATTGGTAATCTGTCCTCAGTTGTTAGAGGACAGGCTATGGAAGTTGTGGAGCGTGCGGAGCAGCCCAAATTGAGACTGGCTACACGAGTCAGACGATCGCCCATGTATCGCGACATTCACTTTGCCCCACCTGAAGCTATTAAGTGGATTGCCAATCTCGACATCAAACCACAGTTGCTTCCCCAGCCATACAAAGAAGAAGACCTGTCCTACTGTATCCTGCACACATCCAACCAGCCAGCGCAACCTTTTCCTGAATATTCCTACAGTGGGTGATTGTTAGATATGGTAGCCATTGAATGATATTGGGAAGCCAGCGGAGGGAATGGCGATTGGTTTAGTTGTAAAGTTATTTTGAGTAAGAAATCTAAAAGCACTTTGTATCACGTTATTTTTAAATTGAAGCATGCAAATTAACTTTTTCATGACATCTCTTTTTTATGTTAACAAATTTACAATTGTCTACAAGCCATAACTTTAATGTCTCTCAGACTTTCAAATTTACATCTGAGAAAAACACTTTTTTATTATCTGTCATAATAATTAAACACTTGCCCACATGTTATATTTTTTGTAACAATCATTACTTTATGATTAATTGCATTGTGTTTGTGCTATAAAAAGAGGAAGCGTTAATTATAATGTACTCATTTGACATCGCAGGTGTTTTTGCTTCAAGTCTACTACTTCTGCAGTAGACTTCAAAAACGCCCCATAATAAAAATAGAACATTTCTTTTCTGCACATCTCAATGCAGGACCCTCCGGAAATTGACTTGAATCTCAGCGAGGCATTCCTGAATAAATAGTAGACGTAACTCAGCGAGGCAATTTGTAGACGTAACTTTTTATTTAGCTGTATAAAACATGAATCTTTTTGCAGTGTTATGCCACTGCAAGAGAAGAGTTGCCTCCCTTATGAAACGTATTTTACGTCAATGCAATTAAATTCCGTGTGACTTGTCTTCTTGGTAAAGACTGCATGGGCTTTACCACTTACGTTCGACACCTGCTAGGTGTGACTATTAACATGTTTGCGTGTAATGTTCACTCGGCACGCATGTGGCTTAGTGAGGTGCTAATATCAATTTTGCTGTTATCACGTGCTGGGATCATGCAGCTTAAACAGCCGATGCCTGTTAATGCGTACATACGCATGCATGTATGCAGATGTAGGTTCAATTAGAAGCTTTCACTTCTGCAAGAGGTGCCTTGGTGTCTAACCCACATCCAACTGTTCAAGCAAGATGCAACCCAAACACCAAACATTTCTTATCTCTTTACACACGTATTTAGGCTGTCACCCAAGTTGTTCGAAATGGGTTTGAAGCTTCAGTGATGGGAAAATGATAAAGTTACAGTTTAGTTTAATGATTATGGAACTTCAGGTATCTTACAGTAATGTCACTCCCATATATTGTGATACGTCATGCATGCAGTTATGTCTTTGGAGTGTTTGGTCTAGCTCTCACGGATAATTAGTTTTTGCTCAACAAGAAATTTACAAACTCTTATCAAAAAGCCTCGTACACATAGTCTAGGTGGTTATCACGCCACATGAGCCAATCATTTTTGGCTTCCCGCTTTGGGTTGCATTTTCATTTTAACGGTGTGCCGATGTTCTGAGCCGGGTCTGATCCATGAAACTGTCCCTTTCAGCAAAAGCAACGCTGCCCAGTGCTGGAAGACCAGCTGGTGGATTTGGTGGTAGTCGCTATGGAGCGCTCGGAGACTGAGGAGGACCGCCTGGACGACGGAGGCGCCAGCCAGCTGCTGTGGCAGCACCTGTCCAGCCAGCTCATCTTCTTTGTTCTCTTCCAGTTCGCAAGCTTCCCACACATGGTGCTCTCCCTCCACCAGAAGGTGCGGTGGCATTGTGTGTCATAATGCAAACTTGGTTTGTAAAGCGTCTACATATTTCTGTACCTCACGATGCCCTTACACGGGGGACGCGAAGCTTTTTTCTTTGGAAGAGAGCAGGTGGCAGAACCGAGTCCTCTTTGGATTGTGGATTTGTGTGTTTGTGTACGTGTGTGTCTGGTGAGCTGTAGTGGAACGGTTAGCGTGCTGCGTTATGAACCCAGTGACCCGAGTTCAATGCCCACTCACGACCATCACCAGTGACAATTATCTGTATCGTCATGGGCCTCCCCTTGGTCAATTTAGCCTCAAATTAGTATTTCTTGCGATGTGTAAACATTTGCCACTGGGGAGGTAAAGGCAGCCGGGTGTGGTGCTGGCCACCCACCTCCTTGTGTGCTGTACTGGCCTTCATAGGTGCTCACTAACAGCACCTGTCTCAACAGTCTATTAAAGCTATATGGGGGATTCTTTGTCTTTGTGAGTACCTGTTGTGGTGTGTGCATTTGTAAGACAAAGGCAGCTGCTTATGGTGCTGACATCCTTTTGTGCTTGCATGTGGAAAGCAGTGATGTGGTTCTTGCACTTGGCTGTGATAACCTTCACCCAGGTTTCATTCTCGTCACGCACGAAGCCCGCTGCCCCAATTCTCCTTTTGGTTAACTCAGACTGAGATGAGTACCTGTGTCTGTGCATGAATGTCAGCACTGAAGAGACAGCAGAAACTGGGCAAGGTGATCTTCACTCCATTCTCTTTGTAATGGCTACTTATAATAGCTGCTCACCAGATTTTTTTTCTTCAACAGTGTAGAAGACTATATATAGGTTGTAATTCAGCAACGGACAATTATAATTGGAGCATGCTAAGTTGATATAGCTTAATAGCACTCAAAAAACACAGTTCTTGGCACAAATGAACCGCAATACATTGCTGATCTCGTCAAGTTGCATAAACCATCACGCGAACTCCTCGAAGCAGTTTTTTGGCGAGCCATCGAACAAAGACAGCCACTGGATGGCGTACTTTTAGATGAGCTTTTGCAGCCATCTGGAACGCTCTTCCGCTACTAGGAAGTCTGGAGCTATGCACTTTTAAATCTAGATTGAAAACTCATTTATTTAGAACTGCTTTTTGAGTTAAATTTGTCCTTTCCTCCACACCTCCATTTAGCATGATCGGCTGCGTATGGTGCAAACGAAGTTCAACATACATACAAATGCGCCTTGTATAACACGGTCACATGGTCCGTCTGGTTATATTGTACATGTTTGTGTTATATTTTTGTCTATTCCGTGTAGTTGGCTGGCCGTGGTTTGATCAAGGGCAGGGACCACCTCATGTGGGTGCTTCTGCAGTTCATCTCGGGCAGCATCCAGAAGAACGCTCTGGCCGACTTCCTACCCGTGATGAAGCTCTTTGATCTCCTGTACCCTGAGAAGGAGGTGGGGTCCTGCTGCTGAAAGTACCCTTGCTTGGTAGTCATCTCATATTCGTGTCCCATTCATCCACGAAAGACTCGCCAAATTCCGAGAGATTTTTTTTTTTGTGAATGAATCTGCTTTTTGGGAAGTTTGGCCAAATTCTTTTGAGTGCTGTCCATGCTGAAGGCACGTGTATAAACGTGGAGAAAATCCCTCGCGTTCGGGGGCTAACACACCAGCAGTTCTGGTAATGAAATCTGTGTTGTCCATCAGCCTTTCCTCCATGTTACTGGATTACACGTGTGTATCACAGTGCCTGAAATGATACGTTGAAAATCAGTGTTTGAAATGTAGTTGTTATGTCATTCAATTTGTGAAAGGCAGTGTTGCCCTGTGCAGTGCATACCAGTGCCGGACATCAGCAAGCCCCAGTCAACGCACGCCTTTGCCATGACCTGCATCTGGATTCACCTCAACAAGAAAGCGCAAAGCGACAACTCCAAGCTGCAGATCCCCATCCCACACTCCCTCAAGCTGCACCACGAGTAAGGGCCCTGCCATCGCCCTGAATTCCCCTTGATCGCTCCGCGAGCCAGACACCCACTGAAGCTGGATCGGGAACACCGCCTCCACTATTCTTGGAATTCTCCTTAGATTTCAAGGCTGGGGTCCGCACCTGGGCGATCGGTTTGCGCGAACAAATCGCTCTCGTAGTCGCAACAAATAAATCGCCTGCAACTGCTTTGTCCGCATCTGAGCGAGCAGTTGCGCAACAAGGGGCCTGTCTGGCATGGCTAATGTATGTGCCTGGCCCCCATGCCCCCTTTATAGCAAACCTCCCCCCACACCCCCTGCCCTTGCTGCTTAGCTCCACTCAACACCCATGGTCAGGATTCTACCAAATCGATCATAATTTGCGAATATGCACGTTCAGCTTTGTCGTAAGGCCGAGTAAGGGCGAATTTTAATTGCAAGAAAGCATGGAAATGCAGCATTAATAATGACCTATGTATGACATCCCATTGGTAATGCCTTTGCACCGTGCTAATCACAATGAGTGGCGCCCCAATCGATGGACAAAGTGCAGTAATGCACCTAATTTAAAAGGCTATGGCTGGTGCAGCCGAGCAAGGCTTCAGGTCACTCATTCAATGTAGCTTTGTTAATAGATTCTAGTTTGAAAAAAAAAATCTCCCCATCGCTGGGACAGTGACAGTTAAGTAAACTCAATTATAGTTTTGCTTAAATACGTGGCACCTTTCTGTCACAAATTTGCCACTCAAAACACTATCACATTAATACTCGTAAACATAAAATCGAAAATCCTATGCTGTGAGAAAATATACCTTGTGCTGTATAAAGAGCTGAGTATTTACACGTGCACACCACAGTTTCCTGCAGCAGAGCCTGCGCAACAAGACCCTGACGATGACCGATTACAAGATCGCTCTGCTTTGCAACGCCTTCTCCACCAACTCGGAGTACTTCCCGCTGCCAATGGGCGTACTGGTGGAGACCATCTACGGCAATGGCAAGTCCACAATCCCGCTGCCCGGCACGAGCTGCATTGCGTCGGGCTCCACGTCGCCGCTGCCTATGAACCTGCTCGACTCCCTCACCGTCCACGCCAAGATGAGGTGTGACCCAACCCCCCCTTCTCCCCGCTCTCGTAACCTTTCCACTCGACTCACGGCCACGTATTATTGTGTGTGTACGTTGAACTTCTTTCGCACTGTACATAGCCAACCGTGCTAATCGGAGGTGTGGGGGAAGGACAACAAACTAAATACAAAAAGCAGTTCTAAATAAATTAGTTTTCTGTCTAGATTTAAAAGTGCGTACCTCCCGTTTGCTTTCTAATATCAAAAAGAAGAGCGTTCCAGATGGCCGCGGAAGCGCTTCTGAAAGCGCGCAATGGAGTGACCGTCTTTGTTCAATGGTTAGCCAAACACGGATGACCGGAATCCACGTGATGGTTTATGCTCCTTTACGAGAATACATCATAAGGTCGTGCTCATTGCACGCAAAGTGCTTTCCACAAATGGACCGCAATGCCTTGCTGATCTCATTTTCATGTAGTCTCTTGTGTATTTGCTGACTCATGTTCTGTATTGTTTTATCACATATAAGGAGATGTTTACGTATTATTCACATACATTGTATATAATCAATGATTAATTGCACAAATCATTGCATACATTTGGAGTGTCCTTAATTTTTGTTTGGATTTATGAATCGTTATGTGCTTCGTATCTACAAACGAACATCGGTTTGATTAGTTTTGGGGTTGTCTCTTGCTGGTACCCATCGGTGTCGCAGCTTGATCCACAGCATCGCCACCCGTGTCATCAAGCTCGCGCATGCCAAGTCCACCATCGCTCTGGCTCCGGCCCTCGTGGAAACCTACAGCCGCCTGCTGGTCTACATGGAGATCGAGTCTCTGGGCATCAAAGGCTTCATCAGTAAGCTCTTGCCACATCTGAGTCTTTGAACACGTGTTATTGTGTTTAGGGATTGGGCTGCACAACTATGTCGGATCTGGTAGAAGGAAGCAAGCAATGATGGTCTACGATGGCATCACTTGCATTGGCTGCCTTTATATTTGACTCTAGCTTGCACGCACAAAAATGTGCATGACATTTATCGTCCAAATTATGTGTTAAGACAAATCATTGGCAGAAGTCCTTTGATACTGATGTTGTCATTGTGTTTATGCTCTGGAGAACAAGAGATCGATGATCGATGTTCGGTTGGCGGGTTGATAGCATTTGTCGTGATTTCTTATTTATCAGAGTAGGCCGCGTGCGGGCTGCTATCATTCGTGTTGTCATTGATGTGGACCAATGCCTTCCTGTGGGACAGGCCAGCTGCTGCCCAACGTGTTCAAATCACACGCATGGGGCATCCTGCACACGCTGCTGGAGATGTTCAGCTATCGCATGCACCACATCCAGCCGCACTACCGTGTGCAGCTACTCAGCCACCTGCACTCGCTCGCAGCCGTGCCGCAGACCAACCAGAACCAGCTGCATCTCTGGTACGATAAGATTTTATATTGCAGGTCTTTTCATGATCCATCAACATTATCCACAGTTCTCACCGATTAATCCAAACACTGCATTACAGGCATCCTCCCCAAGGCCCAGCAAAACGATGCTTGAATTTGTGTTCGTATTCGAGCGGTTTGGTGAGTTGAGCTCTCTTGTCGCTTCTCCCGTTCTGCTGTACTTGTGCCTGGCGGCAGCGTCGAGAGCACAGCGCTACGTCTCATATCAGGGCTGGGCAGCTCCGAGGTGCAGCCTCAGCTGTCGCGATTCCTCAACGACCCCAAGCAGCTGCTCTCCACCGAGTCGGAGGAGTTGAACAGAGCTCTCATCCTGACTCTTGCGAGAGCCACGCACGTGACTGGTACCACTGCCGAAGCACTCGCCTCCAAATTTGCACGCACTCAGTGTCATTGGAGGGCTTACATGGACGGCAGTCGACCAGCTTGGCAGACACCACTTATATTTGTCCTGTATACAGCTGCGGTGGTGAGATGTTTACTACCTCGCCAGATATACAGGAGGTTATGGGTTTGATTCCAACCCTGACACCATTATATTTGGAGTTTGCTTGTTCTCCCCGTAGTCGCGTGGAGTTTTCTCCGGTTTTTCCCTCCACGTTTAGAAACATGCTTTTAGATTATTTGGCTGCTATGCATTTCTACAATGGTAAGCCACTAAGTTGAGTTTTCATTTGTGGCCTGATTGCTTCTGAAAAGGGATATGGAGCTCAATGGGCCTTACCTGGTAAAATAAAGAAAATAGTTTAATTTGCGTTCTTCTTTCCTTGCGTGGGTTGGCCACTGAAACGTCGTTCATCTGTCTTGGTATCATGACTGCTGAGTATTTCAACTCCTTCAGGCCAATTTATTAGAATCAGTGTTTTTTTAAAATGTAATCTGCTATTATTGTCATCATGATCCAACCCTCATTTAATTTTCCATTTGCTGGCCTCTTACATTTTTTACTTTAAGCCCTCTGCTTAACCCGTAACAATATAATTAGTTTTCTGTCATTGTTATTGCTTTAATGTTGTATTCGATGTGAGATTTTAAACTGATTACAACCACATGGAGTCAACATAGTAAATGATGAACGAATATGATATTACTGTAAAATATGCTCAATAGGTGAGACTGAAAATATAGTTACGTTTGGTTGTAGCGATCAGCAGTGGACGGTCCTTTTTTGTGCATTGAAGGGATTGTTTTCGTTTTTCAAAAAACATTTCTCATGGATGTTGTCCGAGGAACAGCCAATAGCCAGATAGAATATTCACTTAAATAAGGATTTCTAATTGAATTTTGAATAGCAGCGTTTATTTTGTAATTGTTGATACTAAAACAAGTAAATATTTTACAAACGTGTAAAATATTAATTTTTGGTGTTAAAGATCAAGTAACTACAGTGAGGGAAAAAAATATTTGACCCCCTGCTGATTTTGTACGTTTGGCCACTGACAAAGAAATGATCAGTCTATAATTTTAATGGTAGGTTTATTTGAACAGTGAGAGAGAATAACAAAAAAATCCAGAAATAACGCATATAAAAAATGTTATAAATTGATTTGCATTTTAATGAAGGAAATAAGTATTTGACCCCTCTGCAAAACATGACTTAGTACTTGGTGGCAAAACCCTTGTTGGCAATCACAGAGGTCAGACGTTTCTTGTAGTTGGCCACCAGGTTTGCACACATCTCAGGAGGGATTTTGTCCCACTCTTTGCATATCTTCTCCAAGTCATTAAGGTTTCGAGGCTGACATTTGGCAACTCGAACCTTCAGCTCCCTCCACAGATTTTCTGTGGGATTAAGGTCTGGAGACTGGCTAGGCCACTCCAGGACCTTAATGTGCTTCTTCTTGAGCCACTCCTTTGTTGCCTTGGCCGTGTATTTTGGGTCATTGTCATGCTGGAATACCCATCCACGACCCATTTTCAATGCCCTGGCTGAGGGAAGGAGGTTCTCACCCAAGATTTGACGGTACATGGCCCCGTCCATCATCCCTTTGATGCGGTGAAGTTGTCCTGTCCCCTTAGCAGAAAAACATCCCAAAGCATAATGTTTCCACCTCCATGTTTGACGGTGGGGATGGTGTTTTTGGGGTCATAGGCAGCATTCCTCCTCCTCCAAACACGGCGAGTTGAGTTGATGCCAAAGAGCTCCATTTTGGTCTCATCTGACCACAACACTTTCACCCAGTTGTCCTCTGAATCATTCAGCTGTTCATTGGCAATCTTCAGACGGGCATGTATATGTGCTTTCTTGAGAAGGGGGACCTTGCGGGCGCGGCAGGATTTCAGTCCTTCACGGCGTAGTGTGTTACCAATTGTTTTCTTGGTGACTATGGTCCCTGCTTCCTTGAGATCATTGACTAGATCCTCCCGTGTAGTTCTGGGCTGATTCCTCACCATTCTCATGATCATTGCAACTCTACGAGGTGAGATCTTGCATGTAGCCTCAGGCCGAGGGAGATTGACAGTTCTTTTGTGCTTCTTCCATTTGCGAATAATCGCACCCACTGTTGTCACCTTCTCACCAAGCTGCTCGGCAATGGTCTTGTAGCCCATTCCAGCCTTGTGTAGGTCTACAATCTTGTCCCTGACATCCTTGGAGAGCTCTTTGGTCTTGGCCATGGTGGAGAGTTTGGAATCTGATTGATTGATTGCTTCTGTGGACAGGTGTCTTTTATACAGGTAACAAGCTGAGATTAGGAGCATTCCCTTTAAGAATGTGCTCCTAATCTCTACTCGTTACCTGTATAAAAGACACCTGGGAGCCAGAAATCTTTCTGATTGAGAGGGGGTCAAATACTTATTTCCCTCATTAAAATGCAAATCAATTTATAACATTTTTGACATGCGTTTTTCTGGATTTTGTTGTTATTCTGTCTCTCACTCTTCAAATAAACCTACCATTAAAATTATTGACTGATTTCTTTGTCCGTTGGCAAACGTACAAAATCAGCAGGGGATCAAATACTTTTTTCCCTCACAGTATATAACATGCATTGGCAATTAGTTACTTGCACTTCATTTTTGCTTATGAAATTTAATCAAACTTTGCAACAAAGGACAAACTGCAAAGTTCAAATTTGTCAGACATGATAAAGCAAGAATAATAATTATAGCTTGCGCCATTTGATAATATATGATATATATGCAGTGTTATCTGATGAAAGCAATGGAATAGCATTTTTTTCAGTGCATTTTTATCAGAATTCAAAATCAGAATCTTTTTACTGGAGGAATCCGATGAGCTATGAAACTCTTTTTCACAGATGTCCAGTAGGGGTGGGCAGGTCAGCAAGTTACAACAACAGACAATACAAAAAACTACAGGAGTAAAAATTGAGAAAAAGTTCGGAAGGTACGGCTAATTTTGTTGATAACTTCAAAGTTGGAAGGAACCGGTCGAGCATTGTCATGCTGTTTAAAATGTATCACCATCGAAACAACATTTGGAGAGGCAGGCCTTTAGCAATTGACATGGTAATTCAATGTACCGAATGATAAAATTTTCATTAAATTGAAGTGCAAATTCTGATGTTGTTGTATCCCTCCAGAGAAGCACATCCTCTCAAGTTCAGAGTCTGTGTCTGGGACCTGGTGCAAGGACATTCTACAGGCCATCATGACCCTGACGCCACACAACTGGGCATCCCACACACTCAGCTGCTTTCCTCCTCCCCTCCAGGTCATCACCACTGCTTTAACTCTACAGTTCATCAAGTTCACTCATCGTGACGTAAACCAATAATCCAGTGCTTTGGAGGCAATACCTGATGCATTTCCCAAGTCCACCTGTGCTGCTAAGTACCCATGTAGTGGTTGTATATCGAGTAGATTCATGAACCCGTATGCGTGCAACTCATATGTGCGGTTTTGCTCCCACACATGGTAAATGCTCCTTGACAATTAAATAGCCAAATGCGCCATTGCAGGACCCTTGTGCTGAAAATGGGGTCCCAATCCGCTGGTTGAAATGTTACATTTGTATGGCAAGAATTCTAGATTTAAAGCTTTCGTGACTGCTAGGATCCATACTCTTTGGTTCTATTGGGTAAAGTCACGTAGGTGAAAATAAAATAACAAAAAATCACGACGTTTCGGCCACAACACAAGCGGCCTTCATCAGGTGAAGGGACGAGACTGTCTGGAGGACCTGATGAAGGCCGCTTGTGTTGTGGCCGAAACGTGATTTTTTTGTTATTTTATTTTCATTTACGTGACTTTACCCAATAGAACCAAAGAGTATGGCAAGAATTGTTGCGTAGAACATCCCACTGCTGGCTTAGGGCCACTAATGGAGTTGAGTAATGAGGCACTTTGACCTGACTTGCATTCATACATTTGTAAGTATGTATGTTGAACTTCTTTCACGCTGTATGAAGCCAACCGTGCTAAACGGGAGGTGCGGGGGTATGAACAACAAACTAAACACAAAAAGCAGTTGCTGTCAGCAAGTTAAATAACAATTATGTATAACCTGTACAACATGATTTTAACAAAGTCATAGTGGCTTCCTGCTGTATACAGATTAGCCACTCAAAAGTCAGTGATTCTATGCGAATAATGGGCTGGGTTGTCCCACCACCCAACCTTCTGACCGGCAGTTTTAACGGGGGCAACCTTCCGATCGCGAGCCCTGCGCCTTCACCACGGCGCCGCCCCCGAGCTCCCCGTCGGGGGGAATGAGCTTGTGTAATTTGTCTCCGTGCCCTCCCACAGGCATTCTTCAAGCAGAACTCCGTGCCGCAGGAGAACCGCGTGAATCTCAAGAAGAACGTGGAGGAGGAATACCGCAAGTGGAAGGCCATGACGAGTGAGAACGATCTCGTCAACCACTTCACGGCGCCTGGCTCCTCCCCGCTCTTCCTCTGCCTCCTCTGGAAGATGCTTCTGGAGTCGGACCACATCCGCCTGGTCACGTACAAGTGAGCAATGCGCTCACCCTGTTTGGGCAACCCTTTGAGTCACCCGTGCGCAAAGAGGGGTGAAGGCTCGATTCGCAAGCACGCGGCTTCCGTTTGTTGACACGCGCCTCGGTTGTGTGTCCCCCCAGGCTGTCTTAGCTCTTGCTGAGAACATCCAGCAACACGGAAACGTTCGTTAATTGAAAAGTAAAAACTAGTCGAGGGATTTTTTGTTTCTGAAATAAAAGTCGCTTGTAAAAGGCCCATTGTGCGGTGAAACATTCCTTTACAGAAAGACCCAAAGAATTTGAATTCCTTTTCCTCCTGTCTGCATGTCTATGTTTATATAGCTAAATCTATTTGCATATTTTGGACCAGGCAAGCTGTCTAATTGGGGAGGTGGGGGGGGGTGTTCAATAATCTCGGAAGGTTAACTTTTAATCAGAGCGTTTACGACTCCACTTGCCTCGAACGTCCGTGCATGCAACCGTGGCAACGTCATTGCTACTTTGTGGTGCACGGTGCCTATTGCCGACAGCGTCGTTCTTGTTGTTGGTGTTGTCGTGCGGGCAGGGTGCTGGAGAGGATCGGAGCGCGTGCCCTCGCCGCTCACGTGCGAATGTTCGCAGACTTCCTTGTCTACGAGTTCTCCACGTCCGTGGGTGGGCAGCAGGTTAACCGTTGGATCGAGATCCTCAACGACATGGTGTGGAAGTACAACATTGTCACCCTTGACCGCCTCGTCCTCTGCCTGGTAAGCGCTCACGAAGGCCGGTGATGGGCACACCCTTTCACACTTGAGTGACCGTTTAAAGGAATACACAATCAAATTATGAGCAGCTGTTGTCGTGTAGGTATGCCTCTAGGTTTTGTGTCCCAAGATCTCTGACAAGTATGAAGCTTTATCAATAAGCAAGATAATTTTAGAATAGTCTAGAGTCCCGTGATGTTACTGAAACATATAGGAGTCATGTGGTAGTGACATCACTAGTGTTTTATAATGGCATGACTAACCAAAATAGAAACATCTCGGAGTATGCAGATGATGCAGGTTTATTCACGCTGACATTGGCTGGTTCGCTGCAGCTATTTGTAAGTCTTAGGTACTTGGACTAGACATTGGAACCTTCAGGTGATCTAAGAAAAACTCAGTCGATGGCAAGAGAATGGTTTGTAGTTATAGTTATTATTTATTTAAGGTAATGGTACCCAGTTTCATTCGCGGCGTCTTCCTTTTATCAGCAATCATTGCCGATCCGCCAATAAAACAATCGCTACCTCCCACCAACCGACACAGGCGCTGCGCTGCCACGAGGGGAACGAGGCACAGGTGTGCTTCTTCATCATCCAGCTCCTGCTGCTCAAGCCCAGCGACTTCCGTAATCGCGTCAACGACTTCGTCAAGGAGAACTCGCCCGAGCACTGGCTCCAGAACGACTGGCACGCCAAGCACATGAGCTACCACAAGGTGGCGTTTGTGCGTTCTGATGGGGCATGGCGGGACTTTTTGTTAGAGTGGGTTCACGGTTTGCGCACCGCGCTACAAATCCAATAGTTACATTCGATCCAGACCGTGGATAATATCGGTGCCAAGTGGTATCCGACCCTGTTATTGGGTCCTCCTGGAGGTTGAATCATCCACAACACGAGTCGCTAGTGTGATGCATAAACCCGAGTACTGGGGATACGAGGCTAACTGGGTGTGATGCTGACAGTATATTTTTGGAGAAAAAAACACATTTCTTACAAAAAATGAAAATGCGTGTCTCATCATTTGTACTGCTGCCGTGTGATAAGGATGACAACCCCTAGGCTCACACGGTGCCCTCTCCCACCTCTCGTTGCGCGATTCTAGAAATATCCGGAAAAGCTGTACTTCGAAGGCCTGGCAGAGCAGGTGAACCCCCCCGTGGCTATGCAGCCACAGTACCTGCCCATCTACTTTGGCAACGTTTGCCTGCGGTTTCTCCCCGTCTTCGACATCGTCATCCACCGCTTTCTGGAGCTGCCGCCCGTCGCAAAGTCCCTCGAGACGCTTCTCGACCACCTTGGCGGCCTCTACAAGTTTCACGGTGACCCGGGTTTCCAGCTGAAGCGGAGGGGATTTCATGTTTTGTAGAGAAGCAATAACGATGACAAATTGTTCCTCCGCTCAAATGAGCATTGGCCACTGTTCACCTTCATTGGTCGTTTAGAGCGAGTGGTGAAATTTTCACATTGTGGTACTTGCTTTTATCAAATTGGTACTCATTTTAAACTCCCTGATAAATTACTGACTGGGCGACCTTTATTTGAACTGAAATCCTCCTGTGAGTTGAGTGCTCCTGTTGTGAGCCCTGCAGCCAGATAACGATACTATACATTATCCGGCATAGCCTCGCTGACTACCAACATGATTTTTAAGGAGATCCTTCATTGAAATGTTTTGGCTGGTTTCTATCTACTGATGTACATATCAACTGCCACGTTGCCATGGATACATATTGCTTTAATATTTTATATCTAAGCAACACATTACCAAATAGATGTTTCCGTCGCGTCTTCCTTTCAACAATAAATGGTTTATTGTGCATGCCCCATACATTGTTTTTGCTTGCGCGCTGACCAGTATGTGCCCTTGGCTCTCTATCCCACAGATCGTCCCATCACGTACCTCTACAACACCTTCCACTACTACGAGCGCAAGCTGCGGGAGCAGCCGAGCCTGAAGCGCAAGCTGGTGCAGACGGTGCTCGGCTCGCAGAAGGATAACCGCCCGCAGGGCTGGTGCCTGAGCGAGATGTACCTCAACTCCCGTCGGGAGGGATCGTGGACGCCCGATGACTCCTACTACTGCAAGCTCATGGCGCGGCTCGTAGACAATATCCTCGCCCCCCACAGTGGGATCTTATGGGCATGGAAAGAAATTGTTTCCTTTCACTGGCTTAAAAATGCCACTTGCAAAACTGATCAACTGAACTAAAACTAAACTTTTGTTTCATTTTAGCATGTACGCCCCACTGAGCTCTATAGCTCTTTTTGTCAGAAGCGACCTGGCCACAAACGATAGCCCACCAAAGTGGCTTATCGTGTGGAAATTTATTACAGTCAAATACTCTAAACGCATGTTGATTTTAAATGTGAAGGGAAAAACCGGAGGACCCGGAGAAATATCCACGCGACCAAAGGGAGGACATGCAAACTCCAAATATGCAGCAGGTGTCAGGGTTGGATTGAACCCACAATCTCCGGGTATACCAGGCGAGGTAGTTAACATCTCGGCCCCGCGCACTCTCTAACGTTGCATTTACTTTGTGGCGCACGGACAGCTGCGACTGGGGGGTGGGGTCACTGCTTGAGGAGACTGCAGAGGGGGCATTGGAATGGTTCGGATGAGATGCAATGTAAGGTTTATTCAGTTGCTAAGTCATTTAAGCACCCTAGAAATGCAAATCCTTAAGTCTTGTCTGATTATATATTTGTCTGTCTCCCACAGGCATATTTAGTTTTTCTGAAGCATCGAGGTCATTTATAAATTTATTTAATAGCTAGGCGGCACTGTGGCAATGCTTAACCTGTGATTGTAATCCGCAAGTTCAAACCGTGATTTGGGGTGAACTCGTCCCTTTGGGGTTGGCAAAATGAGTACCTCTTATTGACTAATCTATGAGGTGTAATTTGTCTCCCATAAGAAAGTGGAATATCCACCATTATTTCAGAGCCCCCCAAAAGTGAGGAGCACCGTTGCACACTTGTATCAGTAAGATCACACTCTGAGTTAAGTTTATAAACAGGTTAGAACCCTCTGAGTTACCCATTGTTATAGTGTGTTCTTCAGAATGCTTGAACAGGCACTTGTCAAACTCGCGTACAAGGTGCACTCCTTTAACCACGCGCCGCACCGATGGCCGGCAAGTCCCCGGGCCCGTTCCCGAACTGCGACTGGCGCTTCAACGAGTTCCCGAACCCTGCTGCGCACGCGCTGCACGTTACCTGCGTGGAGCTCATGGCTCTCGCCGTCCCAGCCAAGGACGTGGGCAACGCCCTCGTCAACGTCGTGCTCAAGAGGTGGGTCACTAGCGGGGGTGGCGAGGGTGGCGGAGGCGGCCGGTGTGGGCTAGGCCTCCTGGCTCGGAGGGAGGAAGCCACGTGCGCGTCGGGGGCACTGAGCCAACTCCGCCGAGCTGCCGAGTTATCCGATGAACAGCGTTCAGATTCATTGATGCAATCGCATCTTGAGATGCTTTGTAAAAGTTTGAGACATGCCGGGAGACTGGTGGTGAGTGAGACTGTCGGGCGCATATGTAGCTACCGCAGCGTGGTAGGGGGCTATTGCAGATGGAGAGGTCTGAACAATAGCCTTTTGACCCCTCCTCCCAACTTACAATTCCTGTGGATGATGAGAGAAGCCAAGGGACTAAGTTTTATGAGTAATAAGCATGCATTGCTGTTAACACATACATTGTAATATAACTCGAGCATACACAATAGAGTTACTGCTCTAATTTGCTATAGCTTAAACTCTAAAAAGAATACATTAAAAATATTATTTAAATGATTAATTTATTTGATGCAGACAGTGGTGACTTGGTTGAGCCTCTTTTGTCACTACCACTAATCACAAGATTGCTGAAACTTGGAATTTGAACACAAGCCCGTCAGTGGTGTTACCAGATGGTTTAAAAGCCAAAATCATTACAGCCACACAACATCCACAACAACTCTGAGGATTTTTTTAAATTCTATATATACAATTTTCGGATGGTTTGCTGTTATTGAAGACACATTGTTGTGGGCGTGCTGTGTGCAGCCAGCCGTTGGTGCCCAGGGAAAACATCACAGCGTGGATGAATGCCATCGGCCTCGTCATCACAGCTTTGCCGGTTTGTTTGGGGTGTACGGGGTGTGTTGGGTATAACGCAGGGTCATACACGGTTTGACGGTGACATACAGTTGCATAGTAGACTGAATAGTTTTGGATTCTTGTGCAATATTTAACAGGTTAAGCAAACTAAAGAGACGCTATTTTGGCCAACTACGTCTTAGTCTTTCAGCCATTTGACCAAGGGTGAATAGCTTAATTGTGCTCGAAAACATTGCATTTTGCAAAATATTACAAATTGTGTTTATGGCTGGGTGGCTCTTCTTTATGCCTAACAATCTGAAGGTCTTGAGCTCAGATTCCTGGCAGTATAACTCTCGTTCACGTTCCACAAAGTGGTACACATTTCATTTTCCCTGGAAATGCAAATGGGCTCTCTTTAACCTCTGACCAGGCTTTAAACTCGCAGCCTTCTGATGGAAAGTCAAGTGCACTATAACCACAGCATCAACTGGCCGGACTGTCAGGAGAGGATTGTAAACCTGTTTTTTTTGTATAACCAGGTGAGATCTTAACAAACGAGGATAGTATACATTTCCAAAAGTGACCTGGGGCATTAGTCTGCCAGTTGCGGAGTCATGACTGCGATGAATAATTCGCGGGTATTCGAATTTTTTTAATTTTGCCCACGACGCCAGCACGCAATGACCTATAATTGCGAATGCCGTCAGAGGATGTATGTATGTATTTTGAACTTCTTTTGCACTGCACGCAGCCAACAGTGCTTATCGGATGTGTGGGATCTTTCAATGTGCACAGAAAAACAGACGTCGTGTAATACGGTTAATACACCTGCAGTATTAACCAGCGTGGCTCCTGGATTCGAACCGGCGAACCTCTCCAACATGCAGCAAACTCGCTACCGCAAGGCCATGTCAATGCCTTTTTTTGGGGGGCTTGTGTTAGAACTACCATCCACCTTTATTCCGAGTTCGGCTAAATTAAACTTTTTTTTTCTATTTTGTAGTTTACCAGGTAAGGCCCACTGAGCTATATGGCTCTTTTTCAGAAGTGACCTGGCCACAAATGATAGCTCAATGAAGTGGCTTATCATGTGGAAATGTATAGCAGCCAAATACTCTAAACGCATATTTCTAAATGTGGAGGGAAAAACCGAAGGAACCGGAGAAAAATCTACGCGACCACGGGAAAGAGACATGCAAACTCCAGATATACAGTTGTCGGGAGTCAGGATCAAACTCACGACCTCCTGCATACCAGGCGAGGCAGTTCAAATCTTACCACCGCTACACCACCGCCACTTTCCCCCCCGACGTGACGGTGTGCAGGAGCCGTACTGGATGGTGCTGAATGACCGCGTGGTCGGGGTGATGAACAGCCCCCTCCTGGCGCACGAGTCCGAGTGGGTCGGCTTTCCGTTCCAGCTGTTTGACTTCACGTCCTGCCACCAGGCGTACGGCGAGATGTACTGCAGCTACGTGCTGGCCCTGGCGCATGCCGTGTGGCACCACTCCAGCATTGGGCAGCTTACGCTCATACCCAGGTCCGCCATTTGCCTGCTGAGCAGTGCACGTGTCTCTTTGTTAGTGAGCGTGTATTTGCACGTGTTTCCATGTATGTGTTTGTATTATATACAGTCTGTTAAAGGATAACTGGTTATTGTATTTGTGTCTAAATATATTGACAATGGTAGTGTAGTGGTTAGCGCATCGCACTATGAACCCAGCAACCCGAGTTCAATTCCTGCTCACTGCAATTATTTGCGACGAATATTTTAACCATTCCTGGCCCTCCCCCAGGTCGACTCAGCCTTCAATAAGTACTGGGTGCGGTGTTTAAAACAGCACTGGGGAGACAAAGGGCGTGGTGCTGGCCTTCATACGTGCTCGCTAACACCGTATGTCCCAACAGTCTGTTCACCCTAGGTAAACTCAGATTTAAATGAATAACCTTGTGAAAATGACCTGGGTTGTAAGATATGGCAAAGTCTGAAGCTACGTATGCCATTCCCTATGTGCCATGCTGCTCAATAGGTGATCACTGAGCATTCGTTTGCCTGCATGTTTCATAGGTTATGTTGATTTGTGTATGAATATGTCACCTTGCTTTGGAATTCATCGTTTATATTGTAATATATGTGTGTTTGCATCCAATCTACTGTATCTCCACTTTAACTTTAATTCAAAATTTATGTATAATCTTTACATCTGCAAATACTATTCATTTTGACACTCCCATCTGCTACGTTTCACTTTTAATTAACGAAAAGCTGGAATATTAAAATATACGCGAGTCGCACATTTCGATTCCAATTTCAAAAGAATACATTATTAACATTTCTTACAATCCTGGTGGCAATAATTAAATTTCTGTCGAATTTCCTTTTTTTTAAAAAGCCTTTTCCAGTATCCATCCATTTCCCCATTAGTGCCTTTTTAATGCCCTTCTGTAGCACCCATCTTGCGAAGTGCTATATCTGGCCCATAATAACGCTCCATAATAACATACCTGCTGTCTAGCATCAGACATCCATTTACGTGCGAAAGGCAGTTATCCCGAACGTCATCCAGCCAATTATGCGCTTCCCTTTTTTAACAGCAGCCGGTGGCACCTGGGAAATTACTTGCGAGCGTGAGTGGCTTTATTATACATTTGCCGTGAGGCAGCTGCAAGGGGGCAATAGTGGTGACCTGAGTAAGACATTTGCGGTGGTGGAATGTGGCGGTTTGTGAGCAGGTTTCTAAAGGAGGTGGTGAAACCGCTGGTGAAAACCGAGGTGCAACTGCTCTACGTTTACCACTTGGTGGGGCCATTCCTCTTGCGCTTTCTCCAGGAGCGGACACGTTGCATGCTGGAGGTAAGCAGAGATAATTTAATTCATGAGCACACAGCCACAGCTCTATAACAATGCCATTTTAGGAAACACTTTCAGAGGATGTTGCCTATCTTGCCACGGTGAGGACCGGGTGCTGTTCAAGCCAATGTCTGTTGGTACTTGTCCACGAGTGGCCAAGAGCCATTGGTGGAATTCCCATAGGCCGATTGTCATCTCACTTTAATTGACCTAAGTTATAAACTTAATTGATCAGAAAAATAATTTAAAAGTGCATGGTGGGAGCAAGCACTTTTGTTATGTCATGAGTGAGAGAGATGAATTAGCAGCTTTCATTTTACTCAACTGCCATGAATCGATATTGCTTTACAAATATGAAAGAGCACTTTTTTTAGGCGGCATATTCCTTTAATTTCATAAACCTATGAATAGCACGGTTGGCTACGTACGGTGCGAAAGAAGTTCTGCAGACATACATTACAAATACATGTATTCATTATCTAGGAAAGCCCTTCTAGAATCTTTAAAAATATCTTCAGGTGTGTTCCTAAATTGAGACAACTGGCCAAATGGTTCTGTGGATGATTGGCTTTTCACGTGGGAGGAAACTGGAGTATCTGGAAAACCCATATTTATGTGCGAGGATTCTACGCAAGAGTTTACCCAGATTAGTTCACGAACCGACTTGCTGTCCTGCCGTGTTCTGTCATCTCCTAGCTGCTTTACAGCCTGGAGGAAGGCTTGTAAGTCTCACTGGGTGGGTGTCCTGTAAAAAATAGGAAGATTAACTTAAAGTTATCCATTTAAATAGGATGAGTAGTGTTTCTACTTTCCAATGCAGAATTGTTTCCCTTTAATGGCCACCCCTGGTCCCATATGATGATGATGATGATTTACATGTTTTTTTGTATAGTTTTAGCTTCAATCTTTGTTATTAGATTACATCCTTGAAGAGTAGATTTTTTTTTCACATTACGACAACTATATCTTAAATGCATTATTCAACAAAACATAAAATGCATTTTTATCCATCATTTCAAACAACTTTTATTCAAATAAACGATGCGTGTTCGAATAGAAATAAATGATAAATTCAACATTTGCGTGATACACCCAATGCCACCATGCTCGAGTTGAAGGTTCGATTCGCGCTGCTGCCTGGTAACTTACATGGCAATTGCATAAATGTACTGCCTAATACAGTTTGGCATTTCACATTAAGAGCTTTTTTAATTACTTGTAAGTGCAAGCCCCACTTGTTGAAGCCCATGTGCATTAAGATACAAGGGTTTCAACACAATGCAGAATGCCTTAATTGTTTAAGACTGCAGGAGATGGTTCTTACAAAATACAATATGAAGCCAGATGTGCATTGGTAGGAGAGAACCACTTTTCATTGCTTAATGGCTATAGCATGCAAATGTATAATATATACCAATAAGGACATTACTATGGTTTATGATTTGGGGTAATTGGCAAAGGGCACAGCATCATTGCTGCTACCGAGACACAAGTGCAGATCATTAATTGTAGCATAATTATTATCTGGTACAATGTGTAAAGATCAGCACAAGCGATGCATTTAAATCAGGCTTATTTTCAATCTCTCATGGGTGGTGCAGAGGTTAGAGCACTCTGCTCATAATCAGAATCTGTGAGTTCAATCCCAATGGGAGTCAGCTCTCTCAGTCAACCCTTGGAAATCGAGTAACCACTGTGAAATGAAATGGCTGTCCTATATACTGGACCATGCCAGAGGAATGTGGAATTTCCACCACTGGCTTAGAGAGACCAAATCAAGTTTGGCTTAGAGCCATCAACAGAGATCAGCACTCTCCCAATGCCTGTTTGTGTCAGAGGACAACTTTACTTTTGGCTTGGCACAAGGGCATTCACCAAGTTAAAAAACAATTATCCAATTGCACAAAGTTTTGAGTGTTTGTGCACATCTCATGCCATGGAAAACTGTTGTCTGTGTACATTTAGAAGTGCGCTTTTTTTCGTCCCCTTTTCCCTCTACGCATCCTGTGCCAGATTGCGGTGGAGTTTTACGAGATGCTGCAAGCGGTCGACCAAAACTGTAAACACATGGGTCACATGGACCCCATCTGCGACTTCCTCTACCATGTCAAGTACATGTTTACCGGCGACAGTGTAAAAGACTCGGTGAGTGGCTCCAAAAGGAAAACCGGTGTGCATTGTTGCCTTTGTAAAACGCACGAGGACTCGTGTGAATACTGTAAAACTCCGCTTTTACTCGTAAACGTAACAATACTGACTCTAGATCCATGAGAACACGGGTATGTACAGTGAGGGAAAAAAGTATTTGATCCCCTGCTGATTTTGTACGTTTGCCCACTGACAAAGAAATGATCAGTCTATAATTTTAATGGTAGGTTTATTTGAACAGTGAGAGGCAAAATAACAACAAAACAATCCAGAAAAACGCATGTCAAAAATGTTGTAAATTGATTTGCATTTTAATGAGGGGGCGAGGCAATGGCGTTACCGTAGTGCCGCTATTGTCTGCGCAGCGCGCAGTCTACCAGCTCTAAAACTCTACTTATCTACCAGTTATGTGTTACTTATTTATTGGATATTTACTTTTGTTACTTATTTACTGTTTTAAGTTCACTCGTTTCTGGTGAGTTTGTTTTCTTTGTGCACGTTGTGATTTTAATGTTAACAACTGATAGTGGAATGTATTACAAATGTAAACTTCATATTAATATGATGGAATTAAGCTGCGGTAACGACGTTAAAGATATGAATGCATGCAAGGTATATAGAGGTGCGGGCTATCTGAAATTTGTAGAAATAGGTTTTACCCTTTTAACTGGCACAAAAACTGACACCTTTATTCAAGGCATCATGTTTGCAATAACCACATCACAAGCAGTCAAAATGCAAACAAAAGAGACAACTCTGATAATAATATGCACTGTCCTTGAATTTGATTGGTCCACACCCGGAGACGGCTTTTCTTAGAGCCTAGTCTCCATTGGTGTTGGACCAGAAGAGGCCAAAAGGCGTACAACTCAAAAACAGCGCACTATCAGAGTATTGAGGGCTCGGGGTGAGCATTTACATTATGAGACCTCCTTTGCCAGTAACAAGATATAGTAATAGGTTTTACCCTTTTAACTGGCACAAAAACTGACACCTTTATTCAAATATCTGAAATTAGTTTTACACAAAACGCTATTTTTGCAGGGTATATGCATCTGTGGGTTATATGCAGGAAAATACGGTATATTCACGGAACGAAAAAAACTCGTACAAATGAGACATGAACACGATAACGCAAACAAGATACAATTAAACATACATAATTCATTTTTGAATTGAGACCTTAGTAATGACAATGAATCACATTTCTGCGGGCGTGATTCATTACATACTTACGCAGCTTGTACTGCAATATCAGCTCATAATATCCTGGTAACAGCTCATTGTGACTAAAGTTAGCATTGTTATGATATAAAGTTTGCACCATATCACGTGAGGTCAGCATCACAAGACATGCTCTGTATCCTAATAATTTTCCCACCTCCGATTTGCGCGGCTAGCTCCGTACGGGGCGAAATAAGTTAAAACTCGCGCGCACACACACACACACGTACGTCAGACGAGTTCTGTATTGCATGACGCAAGGCGGGTGTGTTACTCGACTTAAGTTCGGGATCGAACGCCGCAAGGCCCGTAACCCGCACGACCCAACGTCCGGGGGTGGGCACGTGCGAGCCGCCGGCTGACCGGTGCGCCGTCCTGCCGCGCCGCTGCAGGTGGAGAAGATCATCTGCACGCTTCGGCCCGCGCTGCAGCTCCGCCTGCGCTTCGTCACGCACATCAGCAAGGTGGACCCGTCGTCGTCGTCGTCGGCGGCGGCGGCCTCTGCTGCGACGGCAGGCGGCGGAGGTGGAGCGGGCGGTGGGGGTGCCGCACATTCGGCCACAGGTGGAGGCGGAGGCGGTGGCGGCGGCGGCGGCGGCGGCGGCGGCGGCGGCGGCGGCGGCGGCAGCAGCAGCAGCGCATCGCCGGCCGCTTCCCACTCCGGCGCTTCTGCCGGCGCAGTGGCTATGGTGACGGTTCAGTGAAACCAATTTTTAAGAGCTGACGAAGGAAGGCGCGCGAACCGACTAACGAGTGGCACTCGTCTTGTAGGCACCGTGGCCTTTTGCAGGCGTGTGGCCTGTACGGATTTCCACCCGCGTCCTGCTGTGAATTGTCACGATTATGGGTCCACGGTTTGATTTGAGAGTCAATTATTTCTTTTTTTAAGTTTGTGGTGAATGTAGCACCTCTGGTAGCTACAAGGGGTCCCATAAACCAATTATATGTGACATAAATGAATAAAAAATTAGTCTTGCACACAATTTGATTGTACTTGTGAAAACATTTTTAATTATGAACATGGATTTGTTACGTAAAAATTAGTCTATTCAAATTAGTATACTGCTGATGCATTCATACATGCATTGCTTATAAGAATCAATTATTACCATTAAAATCTCCTTATATATAAAAGGCAAAGTTGTGAATGTGTGTCTGTTCGAAATGTTTAGCGTACTTCCCGACATGCAACAAACTTGAAATTTGCCATGTGGGTACTTTCCAGACTGTACACCATGCAAAAATTATAAAAAATACACTTTTTGGGGGGGGGAGGTCAATAATGCATATTTTTTTTGCAAGGCAAGTGAGCTGTGACGTCAAATCTGTCATGTGACCCGCGCATGTGGAAGTGTAACGCATTGTAGTGTAGTGGTTAGCACGCCGCGCTACGAACCCGGCGACCCGAGTTCGATTCCTGCTCACGGCCACCACCGGTGACGATTATTTTTACCGGTCCTGGGCCTCCCCTAGGTCGACTCGGCATCAAACGAGTAACTGTTCTGTGTGAATATCGCCACTGGGGAGACAAAGGCAGCAGGCGTGGTGAATCCAAGTCCCGGGCGAAGCCGGGTAGTACAGCTTGTTATACATAAATGTAACAGGACAAAATGTGAAGGCTCAAATGAAGCAAATAATTATGGTTTTTTTATCCAGTGTTTACTCTGAATCACGCTGATTGAATCTTTGTGGGAGTAAGGTCGAATTAATTATTAGTTTGTCCCTCACTGTCCAACACAACTTTAAAACTTTGTTATTAAGAAAAAAAATACTTGCAAGTAACAAAACAAGTCAATTATGTGTTGCACTCGAGCAACATTGTAACATCACTGAATTGCAATTAAATGCATCACGAGTGATATCTCTAGAGCACTATAAAGCCCTGCCTTAAAGTAAATTTAAAGTATTTTGTCATGTTGGGACACAAAACTTCTAGAATAATGTTGAGCTGGGTCACGTTTTGTTCCCACGAATCACACGGTCTCACCTACTTTCATTAATGTCTCATACCCTCCTGTACTTCTCCTCTGTCCACACATACCTTCCACTCCCTACGTCTCCCTTCTATAGCCAGGGGGGACCTCTTTTTAGTGTTTTATGTATGTATATTGAACTTCTTTCGCACCATACGTAGTCAACCACGCTAATTGGAGGTGCTGGTCAAAAGGTAAAAGGCCCAATCTTTGCAAATCCCATACCAACGAATCATACGCTAGTCCAACCATTAACCCACACTAGTAAACCTGATTAACCCTAACCTGAGCACCAGTTTTGGGACTTTGCCTGGCCCCATCTGCACGTTCACTTCTCTCTTGGAATTTGCATTGCATCATGACTAAGTAGGGATCTAGGCAAGGTAGGATAGTAGTGGTCATTAAGCAAAGTTTTTTTTACTTAACCATGAATTGTAATGTACAGGTAGGTAAAAAAATAGCTGTGTGTAAAATACGGTTTTTTTCAGTTTAGTTAATGAACACGGTTCAGTGAGCGAGGCAAGAGATGTTGCAGAGTCACTTGTGTTCCAATTGTTTCTGGGGTGGGCACAAGTATCAGGTGTCCGTTCACCAGTGCTCTTACAAAAAAAAAGAGTTACCCCCCCCCCCCCCCACGAGATGGAAATCAGACTTAGAATCAGTCTGGCACATAGCACACATTAAATGTTACGGATTATGTTTTTTGCAGTTACGGTATGGCTCTAACGCGTATTCAGGTTTCACCATGTGTTGTTACAACCCAAAGTCATGGAAGATTTATACATTGTACCTGGAAATGAGGCATACTCCATATTGTCTAATTTTGCTTGAACAGTTTTTAAGTTGGCCAAACCCCTTCCCATGCTAGGGCTGTGTCCCATGTTCGTAGGGCTTGTCATGATCTTTTTAAAAAGCGGACTCGTGGGCTTGCAAAAATTATCTGTGGACTGAAGAGAGATTATCCACTTCTGTATTGGGTCGCGTTGGATATGGTACGTGTGTATATTTAATTTCTTTGCCAACGTACCTAGCCAACTGTGCTAATCGGAGGTGTGGGGGAAGGACAACAAACTAAACACAAATCAGTTATAACATCATACTCATGATCATGATTGTAGTCATGATGTTAATGGTCCAGCCTGCGACACCACAGTGTTTACGAAGCCAGAATAAAATAATGTAAAAATTTGCAATGTGCCCCTACTCAAAGGATCAGTAGAGCAGCATGTTTTTATTTAGTCTGCGTGTATTTGAGAAATGCACACAGGACATCAAAAGCCACGACTAGGTTTATGTAATGTACAGATTGTAAATCTTATGGGTTATATTTTGTATGGATGAATTCATAATGCTACGCCACCCAATGAAATGTTGCATACATTTAAAGAACTACTGCTGAACACTTATTTGAACACGTCGACCTAAAACGGCATGTTGGTAAAAATGTTATTGTCATTGTTGTGATCTTTAGTTTCATGTACAATAACACAGAAAGTGATTTTTTTTTACTCGGCAGTAGTGATAATATCTTTGACATGTAATTTGTGTTTGCCTAAACGTGTTAACAACTAGTGTTTTATTTGTATAACGCGAATATATGTGTTGGAAGGGTGTAGCGATTCATTGATTCATTAAAGTCTATTCTTATTCAAGACGTGCATCGAATTGTGCATGTAATAATTGATTTCAGATTCTTGTATGTCGTTTTTTTTAATCCCATTAGATTCTAAAGTTGTATACCTCTATAGATTTCACATTAACTACAAGAACAGCAAAGTTAAGAATTGAATTTTAACCCTTGATGGCTGTTCATAGCATCTTAAGAGTGAGTGAATCGTTACATTTCTAACTTCTATTACTGTTCAAACGTTTACAGAGGAATGTTAAAGTTGTATACAAGTTGAGTGAAAACTGGTAGTTTTTAAAATCTATTTTTTTACGCAGCAGACAAGTGCTACAATCATAACATACAAATAGTACAGCATTTTTAAATTCACATTTGTGTTAAATTGGCCTTATTCAGAAAGATAGTTGGTGGATGGAGTAATTCTATGTAAAATGTTCTGAACACCTGCAGGTTTTTCATTGTATATAATAAACTGCACAATACATGTTGATGTTTATGTTTTGACTTATTTTCAATGCATTTAACTTTGGATTTAATGCTATATACGGTATAGTCCATTACTTAAAAAGCTGTGCGTAAGGATTTTCAGAAGGTAGTGTTTAAAAAGGTGCTCCAACAAATGTGCCAAATGTATTACTGCTGAATAAATAATAAAATAGGCACGTTTTAATGGGGTGAAAACTTGGCTGCTCGGTGGAGGAGAGTTTGACACAGTTTTACGCTAAATTACTAAACATGTTTTTTTTATTTTACCAGGTAAGCCCCACAGCTATAAAGCTCTTTTTCAGAAGCAACCTGGCCACAAATGATAGCGCAACGAAGTGGATTATGTGGAAATGTATAGCCATATAATCTAAACACGTTTCTAAATGTGGACGGAAAAATCCACGCGACCACAGGAAGAGAGACATGCAAACTGCAAATATACAGGCGTCGGGATCGAACCCATGACCTGCATACCTGGCGAGGTAGTTAACATCTTGACCTAACCCAAAATAAATCCGGTATACCTACGTGACTTTACCGAAAGAACCAAAGAGTATGAATTCCTGCAGTCACGAAAGCTTCAAATCAAGATCATAATATTGGTTGTGAAAGATTTTGTCTAAGACTACAGTGGTTTACTACATGGTCCATAATTTTGGTTGTATGGCCACAGTAACACTGACTATCCTGATGGCTCACCTGTGGACTGCTAATATGTTAAAGGGAGTGGCCACATGACTCTGGGGTGACAGCATATCTAGTGACATTCTCATTCTGCTCACAACAGATGATGTATTGATTGAAATGTGACAAACTTGTTTTGCAGGTCATGAAATACTTTTCTTGCGTGGATAAAAAGGGCCCAGTGACTTCAGAAGTTCCGTCATTTAATAATCTCATTCGGCCCTTCTCTCACAAAGTAGCGTGCTGATCGCGGCACAATTCTGAATATACACGTCTGTTTCCTGACATGAAGCCAAGAGCACAATTTACGTTGGGATTTTTAAGAGCTACAACATTATATGCAGTATGTTCTTGGATGTTGGCCTCATGGTTCATGTGAGGGGTTAAATACAAAAACAAATTTCTGATTTTAGGACCCTTAAATGGGGATATTTAGTTTTATTCATCTTTTTTACCCTGGCCTATGAAAGATTTCTTCTGGGAGTTATGAAGAGTGTTGAATCCAAATTAGAATTTTGAGAATTGTTTTTTCTGATATTTTGTGTGTGATGCTAAATCCATCAGAAAACTGTTAAAGCCCTGTTACTAGTCACCAGTGTAGTCTACAAATACATTAAACGTACGTAACAGTACTCTACTTTTTAATTACCAGCTTATTTCCAATGCATTTCTTCTCGTGCTTAACTGTTAGTTATAAATTAATAATGGAATGTGATCCATCAAAAACACACAGCGAAAATTTGATTAGCTTTTATAAGAGTGCAGTTCCCACTTCCAAGGGTAATTAGTCCCTCAGTACTTACCACCTCAGGCTACCACAAAAACCACTCAATCATTCCCAACAAAACTTCATCAATTACTGCTCAATTACTGCGCACTTGGCTATACCACAGTGCTGGCTGGGTTCGTGATTACTTGCGCATGCTCATTCTGGTCGCACTGCCCGCAATGTGAGCCGAACGTGCGATTGCAGTTATTGTACAGAGTGGTCCAGATGTCTTGTGACTCCCAATTAATTCACCCCGACCATGTGTTTTTGTACATTTGCATATTCGCTTATTTATTAAATAACCCTGACTTAAAAATGTGTATACAGTAGTACGTTTTAGAGAATTAAATGGGGGCCACAAGACATCTGGACCAGCCTGTACACGCGTTTGTACTCTGCAACTTCATCTCGAGTAGCTTTGCCACTCCTTCAATAAGCTGAGGTTAACTAAATTGTACTTTACTGTACTTCTAGGGGACTTTAAATTGAGTTGCCCAGACTATTTAATCACTGTTGATCAATACGTTGTCCACCATAAATCAGTGTTAACCAATGGCCCACTGATAATTTAGCATGAGTCAATTGTTCATGAAATGTTCAT